GAGGTGACATTACATCTGATAGTAAAATTACTTAAGTATGATTTGGTGTGCTCAACCTAACTTAGGTGACATAATTTCTTCTGTGCCTTGCATGCATTTGCCCCACACAATCATTTACTCATTCCACTGCTATCAGTGTCAGACTGACACAAATCATATCTTGGTTCTTTTTAATTTTTAGACATTTAATTTAATGATATTATCTGCTGGCCCAAATGACCGGTCTGGATAATGGTAGCTTGAAGGGATGTCTGAGTTTCAAGAATCAAAGGCAGGAGATGTGTGTTTATATGCATATATATTCACTAAGGTGGAAGAACTCAGCAATATTTTTCATCCTGTAACAGATACTCTAACTGCTTTTGGCTGGTGAGCCGTCAAAATTATGAAAATCATTCTGGGGGGGGGGGGTGTCTGTAGCAAGCAAAGTTCATTGATTAGTCCACTGACCGTATCAACATTAAAAACAAAAACAGAAACGTACACAAATAGACAAATAGTCTGTAGCATTTTTACTTTGGGCAGGACTAGACTTGGTCAAAGAATGTCCTTGTACTGGATAAGCCTCCCACCATATGAAAAGTATCAAAGTATTATTGCATCCTCACCTGTTGAAGTAGAGTCTCTGTCAGCTGGTTGACCCTTCAATGTTATATCAGAGGTTGTTTCAACTTTGAAAGTACAGGCAGCCCCCAAGTTACAAATACTTGACTTGCATATGACTCCTAATTAAGAACAGGGGTGAGACGACAGGAAGTGAGAGAAATCTACCCCTAGTAAGGGAAATTCACTCCCGAAAGAGTTATCTTCTGACACTTTCCCACCAATCCTGGTTTCCACAACAAGCCAAATTTTTCAAAATCCAATTGTCACAGGGACAGAAAGTGCGGTGAAATCTTCTGAACAGGCAGACAGACAGCAAAACAAACACCACAGGAGTTACACCTAAAAATGTACCTGTTCCGACTAACATACAAGTTCATCTTAAGCACAAGCCTACAGAACCTATATTTTCGTAACTTGGGGGCTGTCTGTATATGCCTAAGGATGTACAAACAATTCAGTAGCATAAAGTGGGTCTTTATGTAGGCAATAGAGCTGCCAAGATTTTATGACTTATATCTCTCATGTGGGCCGGTCTTCTTTGCCCAGACGTCTTAAAGTTATTCATTGTATTTGAGCCCAGAAATCTCAAGAGAGATGTTCCTCTGATCAGACGAACCTTCTATAGGCCTGCCATACATATACCTATCTTAGTTGAGAGTAGAAAAAACGTGTGCCAGTTGCACTCATAGTACATGGACCCTACCTGAAATCATTTTGCTACATACTAAATGCTCTGCAGTAGATCTGGTGTCGATTTTTGTGAAACGTGAGCACAAAACACTCACAACAGAATTACCCAAGAGTATTTGTCCTGCGATAAATGGCCTCAGTCTGGGATACTTCTCTTGTAAGTGCAGCTGGCACCATTTCTTCCCACCCTTGGCTCTATTGGTACTGAGAGAGGAGAAAGTAGGCATACTTTTGGGTTGCACTGCATTGCTTGCTAGTGGGGAGGGGGCAGGGAGAAGAGCAGCACCAAACTACTTGTAGATCCCGGCATGCAGAACCCCAATTAGGTCACTTTACTCCATAACAAAGTCCATCGAAAGTGCAACTGGTAGTCACATCTAATCAATACAGGATTTGAAATGCTCCAGATGCCCCCAATTTGGGGCTAGACTTCATGCCTGCACATATGGGAATATCCCATAAAAATGGGCCACCTTGAATGCTAGTGAGAAGCTATAGCCCATGGCACGCTCCTTATTTTGCATTTGCTATTTGGAACGCAGCTCAAATGCTGAAGCGGTAGTGTGCTTAGTCCCTGATGGAGAAAACAAAACTTAACAGTGCTAGACAACACTGTTGCTACTTTGGGATCAGTTTTCTCAAGGCTCTGGGGACTGTTTGTACATTCATCTTTCTACCGTAATGCAGAAACTGTTTAGTATGAAAGTGCACATTTTTCTGCACAATTCTGCATATTCCAGAAACTATAGTATCCTAAAGACCAACTGTTTCAAAAATGACCCAGATATTATGATATATTCATTTTAAGATGTTTAGGCTGTCACCATTAGTTATTCAGGTTGTCATCATTTTTGAAAAGCATAGTCTTTTCAACACTTAACTATTGAAAAGACCCAAGGGTCCCCTCTAGCCTTGTTACTTTTTTAATTAATTGTGATGAGGTGTCTTTGAGAGCTCAACATTAATAATTATACCTATGTTTTGCTGCACCCTCCCCAAAGAAGTACTGGAATGTTTTTTATAAATTATGCCTCACAAGGTAAAAGCAGAAGGAAGGATCTTGAGAACACAGACTCATACAACCACTAATAATTAACTTCCCTTCAAAAGCCCCAACCCTTTCTTTTTCTCTGTTCTCTCTCTCTCTGCTTTCATCCATACCTTTTCCCTTGAGCTATGGGAAGCCATTGTTCTGAAGGTCTGACCACAAAAAATCTATGGGAACAATAATCTAAGTGTAAAACAGGAGAATGAACCACAGGTGTTCCAGTGCAAAGCACATCAAAGTTCAACCTTAATGAACTTCCTTGGGTAAAGTGAGACAGAGTTTCAGGCAAAGGGAGGTGCAGAACAGGTATGGAAACTGTGGTCTCAAGACTTCTTCAAGATTCCCTAAAGTCCATGTACTTCCATATTTTTTTTGCCTCTAAATCACGCAAAATCTGGAGGAAAGAGCAAGCGATTTTGTCTTGGAGTAATAGTTTGCTCTTACGTCTACCTATTGGCCCACCACAAAAGCAAAACAGCAAGTTACTACAGTGACCTGTTGGGAAGTCACAGGGGTAGGACTATCTCCCACTGAAAGTGTTTTGTATTACAACCATGGTTGCATTACCTTCTTGTGTAATGTTTTCTTCTGGACTATTGTGTCTTGTAAACCTGAACACATTTTCTAGCTAGTAAGCTCCAAACGTGGCAACACCTTTAAGGCTGTTTTTTTTTTTTACTTTAGCATTAGCTTTCATGGATATAAACCCACATCTTTGGGTGCACTTATTGTTATGACGGTGGTGAGTGTTCCTTCAAGTTGTTGAGGTGACCCTAAGGCAACCCTATTACAAAGTTTTTTGAAATTTAGAGTGTAGACTCAACCAAGATCACCCACTGGATTTTCATTGCCAAGCAAATTATCAAATCCTAGTCCCCAGAGTCCTAGTCCACTGCTCAAGCCATAGTAGTGAGTGTGAATAAGATCTCACATATAAAGGAATGTAATAGGATACAAAAAGATGCAAACCATGTCCCATGTCCAAAAGTTTTCAAGGGTTGTTCAAGATGATACAGGTCTTTTGGATCTTTACAGTGTTCAGTTAGGATTGATGTGTGAAAGCAATGGATCTGATTACAAAAACAGTTTCCCTGAGTTCAAAAATCTGAGAATATTCCTTTTGTTATATGTGCAGTATGTGAAGTCTTAAGACCATTTGGTAGTGCATCTGAAGAAGTGGGTGTATAACAACAAAAGTTCCATGTAAAATGGAAGCCAGATAATCTTAAAATTGTTAACACATTTCTTTTTTCCTCTCTCCTTCCCTTCTTTCAGAATATAAATCAGGAATCAACATTTTAAATAATACATGTTGAGCATCCCTTATTTGGAATTCCAAAATGTGAAATACTCCAAAATATAAAATTACCAACATGGAGAGATGAAAAATTGCCAGCTTTGCTTTCTGGTGCTTTAATGTACCGTACACAAGTATTGTTTCATGCACTTAATTATTTAAAATTATTAAAATGTAATATATAAAACTTTCAGGTTTATATAAAAAATGGATCTCATGTTTAAACTTGGGTTCCATTTCTAAGATAGAATAATAATAATAAAACTTTATTTATATTCCACCCTATCTCCCCGGAGAGACCCAGGGCAGATTCCAACATACCAAAAGGCAAACATTCAATGCCTCTGTAAAATAACAAGTACCAGCATAATAATCCAAAAAAAACCCACATATGAAAACAACTTAGAACCTAACATCTATAAGTTAAATAAAATGTAATCAATCAAAATTTATAAAATGACATACAACCTGAACATAAAACATCCACATTTATTACAGAAGCCAACTACATTTCCCAAAGCTATGTGGGTTAATTGTTTGATATTTTCTTAAGTATGTGTATTGGGGGAAAAAAATCCCAAAATCTAAAATACTTCTGGTCCCAAACATTTAGGATAAGGAATATTCAACAAATATGTTCTAAGTCAAGTTCATTATGTGAAACAATCACAGTATATTGTGTCTCATTCACATCTTGGCAGATGTTTGTCATTGGGTGGCATAGACAAGGAGCTGACAGTGGTGCCAGAGAGCAAGAGACTCATTCTGAACAGTCAAACCACTGATACTCCTTCTCTTTTCCTGGTGATACAAAAATCCCCCCTCCTGAACCTGTATCTACCATCCAAAGTATAGCTTGCACTTCACATAATAAGAACTCTATATTTCCACACTCGTTATTCATAACTACCTCATATATGTTTAAGACTGAGTCGGAAAAGGAAACACGAGATAGGAAGCTGCAAAGCAAAGAGACTTTGGGGAGACTGTTCCTTGGCCTCAAATCAGAATTGGTGGGGAGGGGGACTGTGTAACACCGAGTAAAGAGTTTCCCTTTCTCTTTCCCTAGTAGAAGGAACTTGTGACAGTTGGAGGCTGACAAAGAAAGCCATGCAGGGAGAAGAAAACAAATGAACAATGTTTCTCCCACTGTGTCAGTTCACATTCATTCTTCAGGAGAGAGACAAAATTGTTTCTTTTCCTACGTTGCTGCATGCTGCAGCTTCCTGCTTTCATGAGGCAGGCAGATGCAGTTTGTTCCTTATGTCAATTCATACATCTTTTGTTTTTGTTGTGGTATCTTTTCTGTGATTAGACATTCATTTTCTGTTGTTGTTTGTCTCTCTGTGTATGTTACAGGGCTCAAAGATGCCTAACTCCAAAAAGAAGCAGAGATTAGGAATTATCACCCTATGAGAACCTTTGGATTTTGATCAAATGCCTGGAGAAGTCCAGCAGCCTAGAGCAGGTCACCATCATCCGCTCCTGTGATCCTGTCATCTCCACCTTCCCAATTCACAGCTCGGGTCCAAATCGTTTTCCTGCCACAGCTTGTGCCACGAATGGCTACCCAGAGGAAGCACTCTGTGAAAGATTTCAATCCTTATATCACTTGTTGTATCTGTAAAGGATATCTTATCAAACCAACTACAGTAACTGAGTGCCTCCATACTTGTAAGTAGGACTTTTTTTTTAAAGGCAACTATCTTTGGAACAAAATGCTGTTTGCTCCATTAATCCTAATGATATTCGTAGGATTAAGGTGGAAGGTGTGTGAATCATTATGATAATATTTTGTAATTATACTGGAGACATTTGCAATATTAAAAGCATTAAATTGACATTATTCCATAATATTTGAATTTGACAGAAGCTTAAGTGGTTAGGCATTGTCTATCATCACTGAGTACTTTTTGGGGAATTTAAATAGCTTGAATTTTGTACATGTTGCCCTTTCTCTTGTATTTGCACATTGTTAAAGAGAAACAAAATATCACTTTTTAAAGAGCTTTACACAATTCTGACTATTTAGACACTACTGGAGCTTTCATTAAAGACAAAATGGAATCAGTACACTTGGCAGATGAATCCTTGATAATGTTAACTATGATGGATTATTTTAATAACATATTTGGTCTTAGTGATGGACCTCATCACATTTAGAAATACTCAGTTTTAATCATTATGTGCCCCATATTATTATTATTTTGGACTGGACTTATGGGATGCATGTTCTCCCCATCATACCTGATTACTACGATTCTTAAGTTCTTACTATGACTCATCACACCACAGAGGCTGGCTCCTTCCAATCCATTTGATTGCCTCTCTACATTCCTCTTTTCCCCTAATATGGCAACAGTGACATAGCCTGGAAGTCTCAAAATACTTGCGAGATTTTAGCTGATAGAATGCATACCGATTTTCTGATCCCATGTAAAAGCAGCACTACAGCAACGTATAAAACAATAGTAAACTTTTTAAAACCACAATTAGAATATCATGTGCAGTTACTCCATTTCTGCAACATTTTGCAGATGGACTCCCAACAGATGACTGATGGAGAGGGACAAAATGTCAGGTTATAGGATCCATTCGGAATAGTTTTAAAAGAGTCTCCGAAACAGAGCATTTCTCAATGTAACATGTTTCTAAGAAAGAGCCTCCCATGAACTTTTCATTCTCAAGTCCATCAGATTTCTACTTTATGCAGAAAAGTAATGCCCTTGATCTGTAAATCTGCACTTTCAGCTGTCTTTGCATGGTAATCATGTTTTCTGCATGTATACCAGTCTGTTACAATAAAAACTAAATAAAGTTGAGAAAGAATGTACTTCAACAGTTGGCTAAATATGCATAGTCTCATAAACTGACTGGATTAAAAGTTGCATAGGAACCATTTAAAAACATTTTACTCTTTAGAGGAAGAGTTAAGTCTTATGAGATTATAATTGTGAAAGGGCAATACATGTATACAAAAACTCAGCTCATAAATGGGAGCTAAAACTGAAAGCTTTTCCGTACATGTTTCCTGCTGGATTTCAAGTATTTAGAAAGAGATTTCTTCACATTTGGTGATATTCATTGCAGCAGACACAAGGATGCAGGCAAACCTTCTTTCTAAATGTGTTCATAGAATAAGCATGAAGTTCTGATTTTTAAAAAATAAAAATAAATTATGTAGGTCCACCTGCCCTATAATATGTGTTTTCCCTGAAGTTACTGTAACAGAAGTTAGTTTTTCTTCTTAGTGGTCTATGTGCCTCACACAAATGAATTCAGAACTTTCTAGAGCTGAATAGCTTGGTAGTTACCCTTCTTCTCTTTACCATACACACATGCTCAAGCATGCTAGGCTTATGTTATCTTAGTTCCTTTTTGTCTGTCATATGGGTCTCTCTCATGCTGAGTAGCTAACTTCTCACTTTTAAATACTTTCTTTCTCCTCATTTCTTTTGTTCTCCTGTTTCTAAATCACTCTCTTACTGTTAATATACAGTATATAAAATCTTTCTCTCTACTTCATTCTTTGGCTCCCTCCCTCTATTTTCTTATGGCCTCTTCTTTGCCTTTGTTGAAAGTTTGTGTCACATATGGGTACAAGATTTCCATTTATGACAATCAGAGTGTTTATCTGAGAGAAGAACATAATGTACAGAACTGCATCATTTCCCAAGGGTTCACCTCTCAGGCATTGAAAAACAAAATCTTACTGTCTTGAAAAAACACTGCATGTGTCTGAAAGAGCAATATCAACCACACCCTCAAACGATCTCAGTACCAATCTCTTCTGGACTGTCTCATCCCGCTTCAGTACCAATGTATATGGTACCAGCATTGACATCCATGGTTGCACGATTTCAGGTTGATTCAGGCTTGCATTCACCAGTTCTACATGCTTTAGCTATATTGGAGGGAGAGGATTCTTCACATAAATTCTACGTCTTCAAAGCACTCAGGATTTGCATCAGGCCAATATGAATTGCAGAAAGGCAGTACTGAAATCCACTAAAAGACTTGGCTTCACAGGAACCACCTTGTATTCCACCACAGGGAGAACTTATCTTCCAGAGGGGAGAGTTCCTGCTTTTGAATATCCATACTGGTTAACCTTCACCATACAATGACTCTGTGGATTGATGGCAGCAATGATGGCAGTCACTTACCTTTTTCAACTAAAGTTTCATCTACTTTATTTATCCTATAACACTTCAGTACTCTTATGGGATACAATACAAGTAAATGCTACTACCCAGCCTGTTCTCAAATCACTAATATGGTGAATGAGCCCATCAAACCTAATGTCTGCAATACCATTCCAGTTCCTGGATACATTCTGTATTGTCAACATTGGTGTTTCATAAACAGGGAAGGGTGCTCACTGTACAGACATGATGGTACAAGGACATTGGACACAGTAGAGTCTTTTCCACACGAATACACTAGAATTACTGACCATGATTATGGCTTTCTGTACCTCTGACTGTCATCTACAAGGTGAAGCCTTGCAACTATTCTCTGGGGATGATGCTTCAGAAGGCAGATCCATCTAATCACTATCCATTTGGCAAGGGCAGATAATGTAGTGGCAGGTGCTCTGCATCAGGACAGGGATCTTCAACATTATTATTATTAATAATAATTTATTTGTACCCGGCCACCATCTCCTCGATGGGGACTCAGAGCAGCTTACATGAGGCCATGCCCAACAACACAATACAATAAATGGAATCAAAACATAAACAACAACATAATCAATTACATAAAATGTAAACTATAAGAATACAACAAATAATATAAAATTACAATAAAATCATTCATAACACAGAACAGTGAGCGGGCCGCATGTACAGAATAAAATACTAAAGGTAGAAACGGGGTGAGATAGCAGTGGAGCGGATTATTTGTGAGGGAGAAACTCTTCCAAGATAGGGTTGAAAAAGGGACCTTCATACAGAGGGGGAGGAGGTGTGCACTAAAGACAAATATTGAGGGTTAATGGCACTATGAGATTATATGGTTAATCTCCAAAAGCGCAGCAGAAGAGCCAGGTTTTGAGATTCTTCTTAAAACTTTCTAAAGGGGGACTCGCCTAATCTCACCGGGCATTGTATTAATGACCTCTTTTAAGTGAAGTATTCCTATGCATCATTGATATTTGGGCATTTGTCAGATAAACATCTTTGCCACGGCCTATTGCAGAGCATGGATAGAATGTGGCTCCCTAGGAGACACATTTCTCCAAAACATAGTCTGTGTGTCTCCTGTACAACTTTTCCCCATTTACAAAATTGATGTTTCCAGCTTGCAAATCTTAGCCATTGTTGTAATACCAATATTGTTGTAATACCAATATTAAAACTTTATTTATAACCTGCCCCATCTCCCCTAGGGAACTCAGGGAGGATACTGTAGTAGCCAAGGCAATCTTGGTTTGCTCCTCACCCACAGTTCACCAAGAATCTTATAATAGAGTTTCAGCAATCTCAGGACTTTTAATTCACTTCCGAGGATTAAGTATTTCATCCAGATTTCTGAATATTAAAATAGTGTGAAGAGTGACTGCATGACTTTGCCTAGCATCTTTTCTGCAGGCATCGAGGAAGGCATTACTTTGGTGTTCTTATAACTACAAATGGCAGAGATTTTATTTCTTTGCAACATCTAGATCATAAGAACTTCTACAAACATAATTTTTCCCTGTACTACATTATTTATTGCATTTACATGAGTAAGATTTGGCATTCTCGTTGCTTGAAGTGCATCTTGCTGCAGTAATGGTCAGCCAGCCAGCTTCCACATCATCAGATACTTTGTTTATGAATCCAATGGTGAAAAGTTCATAAAAGGATTACATCATCCGTTTTCTACTCTCAATCTGCCAACTCCAGTGTGGTCATTCCCATTGGTTCTGTTGCACTTACGATTTTTGTTGTTGTTGTGTCACGAGCAACTTGAGTAACTGCAAGTCGTTTCTGGTGTGAGAAAATTGGCCGCCCGAAAGGATGTTGCTCAGGGGACGCCCAGATGTTTTGATGTGTTGCCATCCTTGTGGGAGGCTTCTCTCATGTCCCCACATGAGGAGCTGGAGCTGATAGAGGGAGCTCATCCGCGCTCTCCCCGGATTTGAACCTGTGACCTGTCGATCTTCAGTCCTGCTGGCACAGGGGTTTAACCCACTGCGCCACCGGAGGCTCCTGCACTTATGATGAAAACATTTAAACTTTTTGCTACTGTGACAGACAGACTAATCACCTTTAAGGTAGTTTTATAGTAGCAACCAGTAGTCCAGATAACCATGTGAGCTTGCTACACTCAGATGTAACAAACCCATTTTCAATTTCCATTCTAATAAAGTAGTTCTGTATCCTTGTATTGCCTACCTGTTTAAGGTAGTCTCTCAACTTAATCTTCATCAAAGTATTGTCTTGCCTGCTTTTTTCCAACATCCATCATTGCCATTGGAGAAATGTCTTCAAATTTTAGCTGTTCATCTTGCTTAAGCAAACAACATGCAATATACTTCCACTTACCATGTTACCAACAAACTATTCACCTATTATGGTAACCAGAATTGAGGGCAATCCATGTCTCTTCAACAGCTATCAACATGGGTTGTAGCAGTGGTAAGACTTTGTTGTGAACCTGTTGAGCAACCTGTTTCTGCTGGGGTCCAGACACATTCTACAAGAGCAACAGCCTCATTGATAGCTCTTCTTCAAGATCATTCCATGTCTGATATCTGCATAGCTGCAATGTGGTCACAACCTTTCCCCTTCATACAATATTACAGGTTGGACATGAGAGCCAGAACTGATGCCCAGTTTGAGTCTTATTTCTGTTTTTTAGCACTTGGCCCATCATTCTTGGTAAAGCTTTACAATTACCCATTTGAGGGAGGCACGAATACCCTTAAAAAGGTGAACATGTTCTTTATTAGTAACTGATTCTTTAAGTGGTCGTCTGTGCCCTCATACAAACATATCCTAATAACCCCACATTTATGCCCCAGCATGTTTAGCAGGGGACTTGAAACTGGAGCAGTGGTAGCTTGGTGGGTTTGAGCATATGTAATTGGCATAGAGAGGAGGGGTAAGTGCCAAGCTACTCTAGAAGGTTTCAAATAAGGTCTCTGTAAAACTCATTTGTGGACACAGATGGCTACTCAAATAACCTGAATTTTAGTGTTCTTGAGCACTATTCAGTTGACATTAATCTACTACTATTGCTATATATCTGTATCTAAATCAATAGAGAGAAATAAGTGGATTTTTCTGTAGTGTTCATGATGGAATGCTAACAAGTGACAGAGGAAGATTTCCAACACTGCATAAATTAGGAAAGAAACTTTGAATGTACATTTGAAAGACAGCTTAATTGGATATGCCCTTTTAAGTGATGGTGTTTAAAAATCATACCTCCGCTTTACATTTAAACCTAAGATATATATTTTTATCTGATTTTGCAGTTTGCAAAAGTTGTATTGTACAGCACTTTGAAGAGAGCAATGACTGTCCCAGATGTGGCAATCAAGTCCATGAGACAAATCCATTAGAAATGTTACGGTAAGAAAATATTATATGCATAATGTTTCAGTCAAAGATGGTCTATCTTAACCTAGTTAATTGGGAAATGGGTCATAAAGGGATAGGTAGGATATTAAAATTTGAAAGCAATCACTATTTTTAATTTTTATATGAATAAAGTTGCTAGAATTTTAGATAAATAACATCTATTCAATTAAACAATTATTTCCTATCATAAGAAAGTTCTCTTAGCTCATGCCTGCTGGTTAGTTATGACTAGATCTACATTTTAAATTGCTGAGACTTCATTTTACTTTACAACTTGCCTGTACTGAGAGCCAGTATGTTATAGAGATTTGAATTTTGGATTAGGATTCTGGTAGAGCCATGGAAATCCACTGGGTGATCTTGGGCAAGTCACAGACTCTCATGATGGCAATGAGAAATCTACTCTGAATAAATCTGACAGAGTCACAATAAGACAATATTCCTGCACTTAACAACGGTGAGCCTAAGAATCTTTGTCCGCATTAATAGAATTCAAAGTTTTCCCCTGGGTTTTGAATGTGTGTCTACTGCAAATGTTATCCCATAGTGAATTGCATAGTGAATTTGCTATCCCATTATATGATGCATAATCTTTTTCACATTCTCTGTTTGACCACTCCTCTGCTCTTACCATTGTAAAGGAATCCTCTGTCTCAGCAAAGTTTGCCTTGCATGAATGTCCACATATGTTTTCTTCTTAGTGTTCATGTATGCATACACAAATGTTATAAGAGACAAAAATGAATGTGATGAGGGGCTGAAGAAACATGGGATGGAGTTATTTAATCTTAAGGGCTTGCACTAAATTATCAAGGCCATGTGAAGAAGTGAAGTGCCTGTTAGCAGTCAGATTACAAATGGAGGAAGAACTGAAGAGAAAAAGAAAACTAGCTGACTTTGCAAAAGATCTTTTGCAAAAAGATGGATATAGCTTCTTGTTTTTGTTTCAGTTGATCGCAGTAACAGCTCATTTTAATGAGATAGTGTCCTTGGAGAAGAAAAGATTGTTAGAAGTCCAGTGATGTAGGATATAGAGAAATCATTTGTATATGAAGTTCAGAAGAGCATTGCTGTATGCAGAGTGGTAGCATAGCTATTTGGAAAAGGTACACAAAATAACAAGCAGGATTAACAACAACTTCTAAAAGTCTAATGTCAATATTGTGTACTGGATCAGTCTTGCTTGTTCCTGGTTTTCCTTTATATACTGTGTTACTTGCATTTCTTTCTTAACTGTGACATTGATATGGGATGCACTTTGTGAAATATTTCATTATCTTTATGAGTTAGGAGGAGCAATCCACAAACCAATGGGTTATTCTATCTTGCTGGATAGGTAGGAAATAAAAAAACTCTAGTTGGAAGAAGTGACATTAACAGTAAGGACAAGAGTGGACAAGCCAACAAACATCTTGCTTTCAGGACCTGAACCAGCTGTTTGTTTATAATAATAATAATAATAATAATAACAACAACAACAACAACAACAACAATTTTATTTATACCCCGCCACCATCTCCCCAAGGGATTCAAAGGAGCTTTCATGAGGCCAAGCCCAACAGCACATCAAAAACAACAAGCAATAATAAAATAACAATTATGTACATATTTGTTAATTCACTTATGAAACTATGCTCAGTGCAACTGACACATATGATGTGTGTCATCTTTCATATTACTATGGTATTAATTAATATATAACTTTACCTGTACAATATTATAACTCTCATTTGAGGAGGCATAGATGGAATATTATGAAATCTTTGGCTTATATTTAATCATACTAGCCAACCATGAATACTATTCAGTTTAGACTGAATTTAGTGGCAGTTGAAGCCATTTATCTTCAAAAGATTTCTGTTTCAGTACCTTGTGACAAAGATTGACTATTGGTTCAGTGCTAGTAAACTGGTAGGAGCATCAGTAGACTTCAATGGGTTGCTAATGCTACTCAAGAGTAGTGTTCCAATCTGATTGTTTTGATAGGAAATTCTACATTGCTCATGGAGAGAAATGATTTGGTCTGTAATCCTGCCTTCCTTCAAGTAAACAGAAATAATAAAATCAGGGGTAAGAACTGTAATGTAGTTTAATTACTGATTGTGACAACAATCTTCTAAGAAGAATTGATAAATTTGATAAGTAAAGGAAGACATTTTATAGTTAAATGACACATAATGTTGTTGCGTATATCTCCTGCATGTTCTACCTGTTATGTTTTGATTTGCAAAATACAACTATTTTGTAAATCAAAATCCTATTAAATATGGGAAGGATGAGGATGTTAAATTCTTTCCTTTTCATCTTCCAAAAATCACCTTACCCAAATGAGTTTCCCCTTTGTTGGGAAAATGTGTAGATATATCTGGTAAAACAAATGTGACTTGTTACCCCTGAAGAAAAAATAATTTCTGTTGAGTGGAGGGCTGTTATAGCAGAAAAAAGAACAAAAGGGAAAGAGTTAATATAGCTTCTATTTTCTCCCATGTTGTTTAGAGACAGAATGCAAAAAATTACATGTGAATTTGTGTCACATATAGTTTGACTCTAATATAATGGATTTTACCTAAAGCATCTTGCATGTGTGTGCTTTGTCATAAAGAAGAAAGAATTACATAAAAGCTGAATATTTCAGCCTGTATAATTAAGTGAATTAAACACATGTGCATAATTTTTCTTGTTTTACACAAGTTATTGTGTCAATTTTACTGTTCTGAAATTCTTCTGAAGCATAGGTTTTCCAATCAATTATACATTCTCTGATTCTGTTGTAGTATGAATATTTTAATGTAAATATTCAAGTAAGATGGTAGTCTTGCTCAGTGTACACTTATTAGGAAACTTCAGGCAGATAGAATTAATAAAATTAATATTTATGGTCCTGATCCATCCTACTGCAGGACCATTTTTGATATTGCCACCGGGTGCAAAAAGTCCTATTTTGGCTCCTTATTTCCAGTCCTCTATACACATTTTTCAAATCAGTGCTTCATTCTTTTTCTACTGTCAAGAGCTTACATCACTCACATATGATCCGTACTGTCAGAGGTTTTATTAGTTATGACAGTAAGTTAGACCAAGGACCTCATGAGATGGACGTCCTTAAGCCAGGGAAAAGTGGGGCAATCTGTGGGGCAGCAGGGCAAATCTGGTGGGCAGTGGAGGGTACCATCGCCCTGTGCCCCACATCACCCGCATTGCCCCCCTCCCCATCCCAGTAGGGGAGGGGGGAAAACATCACCACTTGGCTTCCCCCCATGCTTTCCCTGGCTTGTCCTATGAGAACACAGGAAGCCTCCCATGTTCATAGGGCTTTGTTATAGGACACTGCCAGGTCGCTGGGAGGATAGAGCCTAGCCAGAAGTAGCTGTGTGTCATCTGATAGGATCTGGTAGGGTCTGTCCTCTCAGCTTCCTGGAAGCATCCTAGGATGCTGAAAAAATCAAATGTGACAAGGTCCCTAGAGTCAGCATATTACAGCCCATTGATCATGTGTTCGTTGGACCCCGATTTAGTGGTTTCTTAAGTTTCAGCATGATATTCAGGCACTATTTCAAGCTCTTGAACTATACACTAAAAGCCCCATTTATCACCACCACCACCGCAAGCTCCTCATTATCTCGGCTTCCTCTACACTTCCTTTCCAAAGGGCAACAGAAAGTGAAGACTTCCTGTTGCCATTTTGAGAAGAACTTCCATGGGAAATGGAAATATTGGGTCTTGCTGTGCAGGTCTGGGAGGGAAATTGAGTTCTGGCCTCATAGCAGACAGAAGGGAGGAGGGGCCTAATTGGACCTTTGTGGCCAGATGCAGGTCAAGAGAAAGTCTGCATAAAAAGCCTGAAACACATACATTCTTTCTGTATAATAATATCCTTGGATTTTATTATTTTAAATCCAAGGATATTATCATCTAGAATTACAACATTAGATCAGATAATCTAGGAAAACTTTTTTGCTCTTTTCACGATCTGCATTTAAGGATGAAACTTGACCATCTCTGAGATACTTGTCCAGATTCTGCCATAATATTTCCAGCAAAGGAGAACTCATACTTCCTGAAGCAATCTACCTTACTGTTGAACAGCTATTATTATTATTATTATTATTATTATTATTATTATTATTTACTACTATATATTTGTATATCGCCCCTCTCAGCCCGAAGGCTTTTATAATTAGGAACAAAAATTCAAATCAGAATTGGATGGATGTGTATTGAAACCACTAAAATGACATAAAAGGGTTAAATACTTTAAATGTTACGTTTGGTATTATTGAACTTGGGATGGGGAGAAATGGAAAAGTGTCTCCCATTTTTGAAGGTTTTTTGACACCCAGCTTGATAAAGATTGCAAATACTCTTTCAAGTGTTCTTCACAGAACTTAGTTCATAAGCTTTGCCACCCATGTCATTCTTCTCTGAACATGCTCCAATATGTCAGAGCCCTCCTGGCTCTACACCAGGTACAACTTGACCAGTAGAAGGTAGAACAGAACTATTAATTCCCAACATGTTGAAACTTTGCTCCTGTTAATGCTACACGAGGTTGTTTTACTGGTTTCGCAGCTGCATCACATTGCTAGCTCATGCTCTGCTTATAATCCATTTAGATCTGATCACAAGTACTTCCAACAATTTAATGTTTTTTAAAATTATTTAATTGAAAACCATTCAAATATGAGCAAAAACTGAATACATTAGTTTGACACTGTGATTTCTAATACTATGTAAGAAATGGTTGTTAAATATAAGGAGTATTTCTAATGTTGTTGTTCATTCGTTCAGTCGTCTCCGACTCTTCGTGACCTCATGGACCAGCCCACGCCAGAGCTCCCTGTCGGCCGTTACCACCCCCAGCTCCCTCAAGGTCAGTCCAGTCACTTCAAGGATGCCATCCATCCATCTTGCCCTTGGTCGGCCCCTCTTCCTTTTGCCTTCCACTTTCCCCAGCATCATTGTCTTCTCTAGGCTTTCCTGTCTCCTCATGATGTGGCCAAAGTACTTCAACTTTGTCTCTAGTATCTTTCCCTCCAGTGAGCAGTCGGGCTTTATTTCCTGGAGGATGGACCGGTTGGATCTTCTCGCAGTCCAAGGCACTCTCAGAACTTTCCCTCAACTCCACAGTTCCAAAGCATCGATCTTCCTTCGCTCAGCCTTCCCTAAGGTCCAGCTCTCACATCCGTAGGTTACTACAGGGAATACCATGGCTTTGACTAGGCGGATCTTTGTTGCCAGTCTGATGTCTCTACTCTTTACTATTTTATCGAGACTGGACATTGCTCTCCTCCCAAGAAGTAACGTCTTCTGATTTCCTGGCTACAGTCTGCATCTGCAGTAATCTTTGCACCTAGAAATACAAAGTCTGTCACGGCCTCCACGGTTTCTCCCTCTATTTTCCAGTTGTCAATCATTCTTGTTGCCATAATCTTGGTTTTTTTGACGTTTAGCTGCAACCGGCTTTTGCGCTTTCTTCTTTCACCTTGATTAGAAGGCTCCTCAGCTCCTCCTCGCTTTCGGCCATCAGAGTGGTGTCATCTGCATATCTGAGGTTGTTAATGTTTCTTCCAGCAATTTTCACCCCAGCTTTGCATTCATCCAGCCCCACACATCGCATGATGTGTTCTGCATACAAGTTAAAAAGGTTGGGTGAGAGGATGCAGCCTTGCCGTACGCCTTTCCCAATCTTGAACCAGTCTGTTGTTCCGTGGTCAGTTCTGACTGTTGCTACCTGGTCCTTATACAGATTCCTCAGGAGAGAGACAAGGCGATTTGGTATGCCCATACCACCAAGAACTTGCCACAATTTATTATGATCCACACAGTCAAAGGCTTTAGAATAGTCAATAAAACAGAAATAGATGTTTTTTCTGAAACTCCCTGCCTTTCTCCATTATCCAGCGGATATTGGCAATTGGTCTCTCGTTCCTCTGCCTTTTCTAAACCCAGCTTGTACATCTGGCAACTCTCGCTCCATGTATTGCTGGAGTCTTCCTTGCAGGATCTTGAGCATTACCTTACTGGCATGAGAAATAAGGGCCACTGTACGGAAGTTTGAGCAGTCTTTCGCATTTCCCTTTTTTGGTATGGGGATATAAGTTGATTTTTTCCAGTCTGATGGCCATTCTTTTGTTTTCCATATTTGCTGGCATATGGCATGCATCACCTTGACAGCATCATCTTTCAAGATTTTAAACAGTTCAGCTGGGATCCCGTCATCTCCTGCTGCCTTGTTGTTAGCAATGCTTCTTAAGGCCCATTCAACCTCACTCCTCAGGGTGTCTGGTTCTAATTCATTCACCACATTGTCAAAACTATCCTCTATATTATTATCCTTCCTATAAAGATCTTCTGTATAGTCTCGCCACCTTCTCTTGATCTCTTCAGCTTCTGTTAGGTCACTGCCATCTTTGTTTCTTATCATGCCAATTTTTGCCTGAAATTTACCTCCAATGTTTCTAATTTTCTGGAAGAGGTCTCTTGTCCTTCCTATTCTGTTGTCTTCTTCCACTTCCATGCATTGCTTGTTTAAAAATAGTTCCTTATCTCTTCTGGCTAACCTCTGGAATTGCGCATTTGACTGAGCATATCTCCCCTTATCCCTGTTTCCTTTTGCTTTCCTCCTTTCTTGGGCTACTTCCAGTGTCTCAGCAGACAACCATTTTGCCTTCTTGGTTTTCTTTTTCTTTGGACCGTACTTTGTTGCCGCCTCCTGAACAATGTCGCGGACTTCTGTCCATAGTTCTTCTGGGACTATAAAATACTTCCAGTGTCTCAGCAGACAACCATTTTGCCTTCTTGGTTTTCTTTTTCTTTGGGACTTACTTTGTTGCCGCCTCCTGAACAATGTCTCGGACTTCTGTCCATAGTTCTTCTGGGACTCTGTTTACTAAATCTAGTCCTTCAAATCTTTTCTTCACTTCCACTGTATATTCGCTAGGAATGTTAGTGAGATCATATCTAACTGGTCTGTGTATTTTCCCTGATCTCTTTAGTTTTATTTTAAATTGAGCAATAAGAAGTTCGTGATCTGAGCTACAGTCAGCCCCAGGTCTTGTTTTCACCGACTGGATGGATGTCCGCCACCTTTGGCTGCAAAGGATGTAGTCAATCTGATTTCGGTGTTGACCGTCTGGTGAAGTCCATGTGTAAAGCCGTCTTTTAGGTTGTTGGAAGAGAGTATTCGTTATACACAGCGAGTTTTCCTGGCAAAATTCTATCAGCCTGCGTCCCGCTTCATTTTGTTCTCCCAGACCATGCTTGCCTGTGATCGCTGTTGTCATTTGACTTCCCACCTTGGCATTCCAGTCTCCTGTAATGAAAATAATGTCTCTTTTTGGTGTATTATCCAGTAGGTCCTGCAGATCCTCATAGAACTGATCTACTTCTGCTTCTTCAGCAGCTGTGGTTGGGGCGTATATTTGGATCACTGTAATGTTGAAAGGCTTTCCTTGCACTCGAATTGAGATCATTCTGTCATTTTTTGGGTTGTATCCAAGCCCCGCTTTAGCGAATTTCTTATTAATTATGAAGGCTACTCCATTTCTTCGATGTTCCTCTTGTCCGCAGTAGTAGATCTGGTGGTCATCTGATGTGAAGTGGCCCATTCCAGTCCACTTCAGTTCGCTGACCCCCGAGAATGTCTATCTTTAGTCTTGACATCTCACCAATAACAACATCCAATTTGCCCTGGCTCATAGATCTTACATTCCAGGTTCCTATGGTGTGTTGATCTTTAGAGCATCGGATTCGTCGTTCACCTCCAGTACCGTCGCCGCTAGCCTTCCTTTCGGCTTTGAGCTAGCTGCGTCATCACATCTGGGGCTAGTTGGATGGAGATCCTATGGTGTGTTGATCTTTAGAGCATCGGATTCGTCGTTCACCTCCAGTACCGTCGGCCGCTGGCCTTCCTTTCGGCTTTGAGCTAGCTGCGTCATCACATCTGGGGCTAGTTGAACTTATCCTCTGCTCCTCCCCAGTAGCATTTTGGCCATCTTCCGACCTGGGAGTTCCATCTTCCAATGGCATACCGACATATCTCTGGTTGTACTGGTCCATTTAGTTTTCTTGGCAAGGATACTGGAGTGGTTTGCCATTGCCTTCCCCAGGGATCACGCTTGGTCTGACCTCTCTGCCACAACCGTCCCGTCTTGGGTGTCCCTTCACGGTTTCGCTCATGACATCATTGAGGTGCTCAAGCTCCAGCGCCCCGACAAGGCGGTGATCCTTTGCTGGAGGTATTTCTAATAGTAAGTTCTTATTATGCACATGTCTCTTAATATCAATCAACTTGTTTTTGTTAAACAACAATTGTGTGGTGCCTCTGGCTGGATGTGCTATATTTCTTTTACTGTTCCTCTTTTAATTTCTGTAATGTTTGATGTCAATAATACTTGTTAGCCAGTTTAAAATCATTAAATAAAGCTTAAATCTTTGGGTGCCTTACACCTAATTATCTTCTCTTTTTAAGGCTCGATAACACATTAGAAGAAATAATATTTAAGTTGGTCCCGCAACTTCGAGAAAGTAAGTTTTTTTCTTTCTTACTTAGATTGCTACCTTTTCCCTCCTACAGTCATGTTTGCATTCCAGCATTCATGATCTGAAATACCACACTCTTATTTTTGTTGTTGTTGCTAACTAGAGGAACTGCACTGTGAGGCTGAATTCTGGAGGAAAAACAAACCTCAAGAAAATGGAGAAGGTAATTATGCTCTTCGGGTAATGTAACAACATCTTCTAACAGCTGCTGAATTTTTGTTTAAAAATGTGTTGTAATGACCGCCAAACTACATCTGAAATTCTCACAGTTGCAGCTTCAACTGCATCACCTAGGAAAGGTTGAGATTATCCTTTGTACATATCTTACCTATATCTGGCTATTTTTATCTAGCACAGCATATAGTAATGTAAAATGTATAGAGCTGGTTGTCTAATCCAGAAGTTTTATACATGCTTAACTAACACTGTTGGATTAGCTAGTTATATTTATATCCCATGAGGTAACTCAGGCTGATTAAGCAACTGACTAAGTTACCCAATAAGCTTCATGACTCAGGGACTCACCAAGGTTCCAGTCTTATAAGCCAGAGGTCCCCAAACTAAGGCCCGGGGGCCAGATACGGCCTCCAAGGTCATTTACCTGGCCCTCGCTCAGGGTCAACCTAAGTCTGAAATGATTTGAAAGCACACAACAACCACAACAACAATCAGCCAAAAGCAGGGCCACTCTTACCACTGAAATACTAATAAATTTATATTTGTTAAAATTGTTCTTTATTTTAATTATTGTATTGTTTTAAGTGTTTTTTGCACTACAAATAAGATATGTGCAGTGTGCATAGGAATTCTTTCATGTTTTTTTTTAAAAATTATAATCTGGCCCTCCAACAGTTTGAGGGATTGTGACCTGGCCCTCTGTTTAAATAGTTTGAGGACCCCTGCTATAAACTCCATAGCTTGCTAGTTCTCTTTGTGCATTGCATAGCTATGTACTTAATATATACTAGTTTTCACCCTAGCCATAGTATAAGACTAAAAGAAGAAATGAGCAAAGCTATATATGGTACAAAAGATTTTTAGATTTCTTACTATTTCTATATGTATAAACTTTATTCTCCAAATCAACCAGTTTGTAAGATTGTATCTTGTTCTGGTCTCAAATATCAGTGCAGAATGTATCTGTTTCCCTTACATCAGTGGTTCCCAACCTGTGGTCCGTGGACCATCAGTGGTCCGCAAGAATGAAAATATGATTCGCTATCAAATCACTACCTATCCCTACTCTCATTCATTGGGCTAAAGAGGGGAAAGAAAAAGCAGGGATATTATCATTAGACATTTTTAAAGCGTTTGATTGTGTGGAATGGGAGACATTAAGGGAAATATTGAATAAATTCGGAATGGGAAATAGAATAAAAGGAGTATTAAAACAATTTTATTCAAGGAACTCGGCAGTGGTAACTATAAATGATGGAGTGACAAACGAAATAAAAGTGACTAGAGGAACTAGACAAGGGTGCCCTTTGTCCCCGATACTATTTGCCATGGTGATAGAACTGTTTGCTAATAACATAAGGAATGACAAAAATCTAGAAGGGTTAGGAAAAAAGGAGAAACAGAAGGTGAGTTTATTCGCTGACGATACATTGTTATTTATAGAAAATATAGTGGAGAAAATGGATAGAATAAAAGAACATTTGGAGATATTTGGGAAAGCAACAGGCTTACAAGTTAATTGGAGTAAGTCAGAAATGATGCTACTTAATTATACAAGAGAAGAAGAAAAAGATCTTATAGAACAGAGCAAAGGGGGAATAAGAATCAAGAACAAACTAAAATACTTGGGAGTAATAATAACTAAGGATTTAAAAGAGATAGAGGAAGTAAATGTAGTAACATTAAGGAAAGAAGTCCAGAAAAAGTTAATAGAGTATGAAGGAATACGCTTATCATGGTTTGGAAGAATAGCATTAGTAAAAATGAAAATACTTCCAAAAATAAATTTCATATTTAGGATGCTACCACTTCAAATTACAGAAGAAGAACTAACTAGATGGCAACAAATGATTAATAAGTACTGTAATGGAAGTAAAGGAACAGACTAAATAAACAATTATGGTATAGATCGCAAAAGGAGGGTGGACTGGCGTTACCTAATATAAAAAAATATTACGAAGCAAGTAGATTAAGTTTGGTTATAGAAGGAATGGTCAAAGAAGAGGGAATAGATTGGCTTAGTAATGATTCAAGAAAAGTGGAAGATGAAACTTGGAATATATTTTTTAAACAGTTTACTAGAAAAGAAATGAGGGAAATTAGAAACCCAATGCTGAGCAATATACTTAAAGTATGGAATAAATATAAGGGGAGGTTAATAAAGGAGGGATCAACTATAACCCCAATAGTGATGGAAAAGAAGTTCCCAAAAAATCTAAAAAAAGTAATGGATAAAAAGGTAAGGGAAATAAATTTAGACAGGATAGGGGATTGGATGAAGGTGGAAATGAAGAGGGAAAGGATGTTGGAAGAGTTTAAAGAAATAAAATTGTCATGGTTTCATTGTATACAATTAGAACAATGGGGTAATAAATTGGAAAAAAAATAATAGAAGTGAAAGCCAACTCAGTCAATTCGAACAAATAATACAGAAGGGAAGGACTGTAGAAGAACACGAAAACTTGAGAGGTATAATTAGCAAAATTTATAAGATATTAATTGAAATGAAAGATGAAAAAACAAAAAAGTGCACCCTTAAAGAGATTTGGGAAGAAGATTTAGGGATAAAAATAAGCGAAATAGAGTGGCAACAATTATGGGGACAAAGACATTTAAAAATTTATCGATACGAGTTAAAGAAAATTATTACAAGTTAATATGGAAGTGGTACTTGACACCGGTAAGAATAGCATATATGATAAAAATAACTCAATAAATTGTTGGAGAGGGTGTCAAGAACCAGGAACATATATACACATGTGGTGGCAATGTAAATATGTAAATAATTTTTGGGGGATAGTATTTAGAGAAATAGAAACTATAATGAATATAAAACTAGATAAAAGTCCTAGTATAGCATTACTATCACTATATAACGATAAGCAATTGAAAAAGGAGGATAAAGAAGCGATAACAAACTTACTAACTATAGCAAGACTGCTTATAGCAAGGAATTGGAAAAAAGAAATGAATATACAAATAGAGGAGTGGTATAAGGAAGCATGGAAAATAGCAATAAATGATAAATTGACATGTATATTAAAGGTTAAAAAAGGTATATGGAAACAAAGCGATTTTGATGCTGTATGGGGAAGATTTGTGGTAAATGGATTAAAAAATAAGGAAGGAAAATTACCGTCACAAGAAGAAATGAAATTCTGGACAGATGAAATGTAAGAAGGGTGGCTTGAAATGGGTGGAGGGGAGCACTGTGGTGGGAAAAGGGGGGGAAAAAATGAGAAAAAAAGGGGGAGAAATGTTAGAGTAAAATAATAAAATAACATGTTAAAGAGGTTGATGTACAAAATGTAATAGTATGTAATAAAGTGATAAATCAATAAAAAAAAAGAAAAAGAAAAAAAAAGAAAATATGATTCGCGACCTCACCATTAAAACACCAAAACCATGCAGCAATGAGAGTGACTGGTCTTGCAAAACACTCTTATCGTGCCGAGACCACAGGGAGGCTGACTACCCACAAAAGATTACTACTACTACATCAGCTCTAGATTATTAAATATGGTTTTCTGTGGGTGAGCAGATGGCGACTACTGGATAGAATATGTTATGTATCAGAAACTAGAGCTGGTGTGGTCTATCCAATGCAATTATCTGCATCAGCACCCCAAATAACCAAACCAAATCTAAAGTTGACCAAAAACTGATTTGTAATCCTTTTGGTACTAATGTTGGAGAATCGTCCCTGGTCAAAGTGGTCCCTGGTCAAATGGAAAATGGGTCAGAGTGTAATTTCAGATGTCCAAATAATGTTCCACCAAGGTATTTCCACGGACATTGAATCCCAAAGCCATTTGTGCGGAGAAGGGTGGGGTAGAAATTAAATTTAAATAAATAAATAAATAAAGCACAGATGATACTGTTCAGAGCAGAAATCCAGGAGCACTTTATTTAGAAATCCCAGGTTGAGTGAATCTTTCATTAAAAAAATAAGCATGTGCTAAATTGATATATTTAGTTCATTAGGGTGAATAATATGGCATCTTTATTTTTATTTTGCAGAAGAAAATAAAAAATCCCCACATCCCAAAGATAATGAAAATGAAGATGAAAATCAAGAGGATAAAGACTATCACAGGAGTGACCCGCAGATTGCTATTTGTTTGGATTGTTTACGTAACAACGGCCAGTCTGGGGATAATGTAGTAAAAGTGAGTTTTTAAAGGATTTATGATGCTTCTGATCAGGATCGGGTGGAATTAAGGGGAAGGGGTTAGAGGGTGGGAGAGGTGGGGGGGGGGGTTACCCAGACACCCATGTCAATTTTTATTTGGAGAAGCCAAATATAGTCAGACACTCATAAAATATTATTTTGGTAAGATTAGTGAAAGCCCATGGTGAGAAGTGTTCAAAAGAAAGGGAGTTTGTGTTGTATGGGAGTTTTTAAAGGATGCAGTACTGAAGGCACAGTTAGTTGTAAAGAAGAAAGAAAAGTGAGAGATTTTTTATAGAAATCAGGGTGAGTATATAATCAACTCTCATATGATCTGAGATTTAAGAGATAAGCTCAAGAAGCAGAAGAAGGGGATACCAATAAAGTATAATACAAATGGATAGCCACTATTTGCATGAGGAAACTGAAGAAATGTAATCTTCTATAGAATAAGCTTATTTTCCACTGCTCTAAAGACTGGAAAATGAACGAATGGATTCAAATTTCAAAAAAAGGGATTCCATTTTATTCCCATCTATAAGTAGTTGGCTTGCTTCTGAGGTGTGAACTCTTTGGAGATCTTTAAGTAGTGGTTGGATTGGCATCTTTAGGAATACTTAAATTGTGTATTCCTGCCTAACAGGTTTTTGAATTTATGGTCCTTGCAGTTCTTTCCAGTTCTTAGATTACATTATTCCAGTTTAGGATATAGTCATTACCAGTTCTGATTCTAAGTATGTAATAGATGTGTCTATAATTAGAACTGATAATAACTATATTATTGTTCATGTGTTTAAAAAAGGAAATGAAATTGCTTCAAATGTTGCATTTTCTTCTTACTTCTCTTACTTGTTTGATCTGATAGGGCATTACGGTTAATTTCCAAAATTATTGTACCAATTATCTTAATACATTGTAAAATTGTCTTTCAATTTACTGTCAATAACTAATTTAGCTGCTCTGTGTAGAAAGGAGATTCAGTTGTTATATAGAATATCTTTGTTTGATCTCCATATAAGTGTTATACTGCCACACTTGGGCCAAGAATTGTCTTTTGCATGGTAATCACATTGATTTCAGTTTGCTGTTATCAGGTGCCTTCAGGTAATTTTCAGTTTACTGTGAACCTGCAGAAAACCTATCACAAGGTTTTCTGAAGTTGAGAGTATGTTTCCATGATTTTCCACAGTCAAGTAGGGAATCAAACTCTGGTCTCCAGATTCATCCAGTGCTTGAACTACTACACCACAATGGTTTTACTTGCTGTAATAATATAATACTAAAACTTTATTTATATTCTGATTTCTCTCCCCAAGGGGACTCAGGGCGGATTACAGCAAAAGATGCCACATATATATACACAAACACACACAGACACACACACACACACATATATGCATATACACACACAAAACACATACACAGAAAGGACGAAGGAAAGGAGAGAAGGAGGGATGGAAGGAGAGCAGGAAGGAAGGAAGGAATGGTAGAGAAGGAAGGGAGGAGAGAAGAAGGGAAAGAAGGAGGGAAGGAGAGAAAGAAGGAAAGAAAGAAAGGTAGAGAAGGAAGGAGGAAGAGAAAAAGGGAGAGAAGAAGGGAAAGAAGTAGGGAAGGAGAGAAGGAAGGAAAAAAGAAGGGTAGAGAAGGAAGGGAGGAGAGAAGGAGGGAGAGAAAGAGGGAAGGAGAGAAGGAAGGAAAGAAAGAAGGGTAGAGAAGGAAGGGAGAGAAGGAGGGAAGGAGAAAAAGAAGGAAAGACAGAAGGGTAGAGAAGGAAGGAAGGAGAGAAGGAGGGAGGGAATGAAATAAAAAAGTGAAAGAGGGAAGGAAGGAGAGAAGGAATGAAAGAGAGAAAGAGGGAGGGAGGGAAGGAAAGAAAGAGACAAGACAGGATGGAACCAAAGAGCAAAGGAACGAAAAAAGAAACAGGTAGAGAAGGAAGAAAGAAGAAGGGAAAGAAAAAGAGGGAAGGAAGGAAGGAGAGAAAGAAAGAAGGAGAGAAAGAGGGAGGGAAGGTTGGCCACAGCAACACGTGGCGGGTACAGCTAGTATAATATATAAAAATGTAATGTTCGTTTGTGGGATTAACATAACTCAAAAACCACTGGACGGATTGACACCAAATTTGAACACAAGACACCTCTCAGGCCAATGAATGACTATCACTCATAAAAACGCTGAAAAACACAGCGGAAGGAACTTAAAAAGCCAAAAAACAAAATTTACATTACAATGCATGTGCAAAACCACACACACACATATATTCTAATGCTGTTTTAAACCTCCACAACTAAGGTGTGCTCTACTAATCTAACAATTGTGTTTTGAAAAATCAAACACATGTGTCCATTTTCTTCAATAAAATCCCAGCTAACTGAGATCTAAATACCTAAGCTTAACTGGTTTTGTCTCCTTTCTTTTAGGGACTGATGAAAAAATTTATCCGGTGTTCTACACGTGTGACTGTAGGAACACTCAAGAAGTTTCTAAGTTTAAAATTAAAGCTTCCAAGTTCTTATGAGGTATGAATGACAACAAGCCAATGTTATACACATTCCCTAGATTAAGTAAAAGTGGACTTAAAATATCAGAACCTTCAATGTATATTTCTTCCCCCCCCCCCCGCCCCCGCTGTTTTTAAACCTTTTAATGCCAGACGTGGTATGGGATAAATTTATAATGTGATATGTTGCATTTTTACTTAGAAGACAGTTCCTCTATGTTAAGTGAGGCTTATTCCAATGATATGCACATAAGTCGACAGGCAACTTGAAGGCACATCCACACACACCTGTGTAACATTGCATTTTAATTATTATACTCCAGGGTAAGATTTTTTTTTACTTAAAATGACTGCGAAAAATAGAAATAAATTTGATTTCAGTGAAAAATAATACTATTTACACAAACATTTCCACAATAAAAATGAGAGTTTGAAAAACTGTGCTAATTGTTGGTGTTATGGAGAGTGGGGATAATCATGGAATAGGAAATGCCTTCTGAAACAGTCAAAAAGGCATTAACAGTCTTGATTGTTTCCAATCGCCAATAGGGTACAGTCAACAGAAGATGTCTAAAAGTGAAAGTTAGAAAAGAGTATTTAGTAATGATTTAAACCCACCTTCATGCTTTGTACTATGAACACAGGCAAGCAGAAATGGTAACTGAAGAGGTATCATGGCACAGCAGTAGCAGGTCTAGTCTTGTTATGAGCCTCAAGTGATGAGGTGGCAAATATGCTACTGCCCATCCAATACGGAGCACCGTTGGAAATCTGCTGCTGATCAATACAGTTGTTCAGAATTAATAGCACACAACCCCTTTCCCCTCAAGAATTAGGATTATGAAAATAGCTGGAGCTTCTCTAGTAGCAGCCAACTCTGTGAACTGAAAACTTCCTGAATGCCTGGCTCTGGGTCTTCAGAATCACACTGTATGGAAGGGGCACAGTTTGGGAGGGGGGGGGGGTTGAAGTCACCTGATTTGGGGTATGAGTGACTTCTCTCCTACAGCGTTGGACTTTGAAGACTCAGTTTGAGAAGCTTCTTGCTTATAAAACCGGTCATTGGTAGAGGTCTGAAGGCTACGGTGGTGACTCCCACTCTTATCTTCTTCAGTTGGGAGATGTTCTGTTGCACTTTCCAGCCCATACTGTTTAATCCTCACTCTTCTGCATGGATGGGTGTTCAGTGGACAGGTGAACAAGTGAGCCAACTCTAATTACAGCTCTCTTTTATCTGGGGTGGCAGCTACTTGCAGTGCATGGAGGGCAGCATTTCACTCCTGCATCAGGCAGCAAAAGAGCTTTGATTACATCTGGTGGATGGATCACTTGGTTTTCATACAGAAGGTCTCCAAATCCAGTACTAGGAGAGCACGCTCACTGAATACTAGAGTGCTACCTAAGTACATAATAAAATAATAGGACAAAAGCATCTTCCTAAATCAAGCTATAGTTTTATGTTTTGTTTCATTTGTTTTTGAGAAGTTACATTTGGACTATTAATTTTATTTGTAGTTTTCATTTTTTTTTAAGAAATCAAAGGTATATATGTTTCCTATACCTGTTAAAAATGCCCTTTTCTAATTTGCTGCTTAAAGTCCAAAAGGAACTCAGTATGTTGTGGCTGATCTTGACATATATGTCATCTCTCAAGCTAATTTTATACAGTTACGTATTTAATTTTAAGCAACATATTTCGTTGGGACACTTGGGAAAGTGAAAAGTCCAAAAGCAACTCAAGTATGTTGTGACTGATCTTGACAGTTAAGTGTTGATATCTTGTATATGTCATCTCTCAAGCTACTTTTATACCGTTATTTCATTTTAAGTAACATATTTAGCTGAGACACTTGAGAAAGTGAAAATGCGTATAAGCATGTAAAGAAGCCCATTCTGTACATGAATAATGTTTCTTATGTTTTTTTTTCTCCCTGAATCATTGCAGAAGTTTCAGGAAATTAGTTTTACATTTCTAAATGTTACGTTATGATTTGTGGTGTCTCTCATTTTCTCTTTAAGCTGGATGTACTATGCAATGGGGAAATCATGGGGAAAGATCATACTATGGAATTCATCTACATGACAAGATGGAGACTACGAGGAGAAAATGTAAATAAATTCCAACTCCTATTGTGATGTTTTTTTTGGGGGGGGGGTGTTTCCTTTATAACAAGAGTGGGAAAGTGTGGATCTCTAGTAGTTTTTGAACTGCAGCTCCCATAATCTCTCACCATTGATCATACTGATTATAGTTTATGGAATCTGTAAGGCAAAAACTTCTGTCCAGATGTGATTGGTAATATTTTTTGTGTGTGTTGTAATTTTAGGCTTCTGCATCGCAACACATAAATAATTAGAATTGAATACAACACCTTGGCTTTTAGCAAATTCATGGATAGTGTCCATTATGCTCTCTGTGTTGCTCCAATCAGACATTCTTTAAGTCATGTTAACTCTTTTTATTATTAGAAAAGGGCTTCTTGCACTCCTATGGTCATATTTCACACTGTCTTTCTAGCTTTCCTCTTGTTCCACTATAAATGATAATGCTTAGGCTTTGATGATCAATGTAACTAAGTAAACACACTCTATAACCCCAGAAACTCCCGCTATCTGTAGTTACAGAGAGATGCCTCCTTCTCAGTTCCTTCTCCTTTCTTCTTTGACAAAGATGATGATGAGTCATAAGGAATATAATTCCTCTACCTGAAACTCTTTTCTTCTTCGTGAAATGTTAAAAAAAACCTAGTGAATGTCAAAGCTGCTTTTTGCCAGAAGAGCAGAAGGAAAAGACCTGGTGTTGTTAATAAACCTGGGTGTTTTTATTAAAAGTTTTTGTACCTGCACAAGAAGTATCATTTTTTTTACTACAGAAAATGGTAGGTTACATACCTGTGACCATTTTTCTTCGTGGTCTCTGCGAATTCACACTTGTGGAGAGACTGCGCCTGCGCGGGCTCCAACGGAAACTTCTACTTTTTAAAAACTTTCAAGTTTTGGCGGTAACCCCGCCCAGCCCCGGCAGGGGATAAAAGGGCGCCCCGCGCACACCGATCCAATTCCTACGCCGCTACGGTAGCGAGAAATTGGAGGTTTGCATAGAGGGGAGGCTGGGCGGGTTAGTGTGAATTCGCAGAGCACCACTCGAAGAAAGATGGTCACAGGTATGTAACCTACCATTTTTCTTCGTGGTCTCTGCGAATGCACACTTGTGGAGACTAGCAAGCTTAGGTCCCGGAGGCGGGAAGAAGGCAAACCGACTAGCCAAGTCAAGGGCCAAACAATTTTATTAAATGCAAACAGTTACCAACAAGAGATTGTAATCACTTCCGAAGAAGGGCACAGTGCATAACAAGAGGTTGCAATCACTTCCAAAGAAGGGTACAGTGCATAAACTTATGGGAGTACGTGATCCTCCCGGTCACGTGAAGGTGACCAACAACTGAGTAAACTTTCGACCCTTGAAATAAACCGCATGGTGATTATCGAAGACACTCATTACAATGAGGGCACATTAAGTAGTAATACAAAAAACAGTTTGTTAACAAGTGCACAACACATTTGCAAGGCAAAGCCATCGATAAAGACACAGAATACCCGTGATGAGCCCATTGGGCCATAGTGCAATGGCTGCCTGCGCCTCAGGCAGTAAGGCATCAAGTGTAAAAGGTGCATATACATTCACTGGTAAAAAATTCAAGTAACAACATGGTAATAACATTCACAGTAATACACGGTATCGAAGGAACAATCGGTACCGATAGAACACTCTGCGAAGCTCAAGGCGGGCATGAGCCCAGAACCGCCCTCCCAAAGGCCATGTCAGGTGTATACCTGGTGTTCAGTCTATAATGCGACACAAATGTCTGAGGACTCTTCCAAATGGCCGCTTTGCAAATAGCGTCCAGGGGAATCCCCTTAAGAAAGGCTGTCGATGCCGCCATAGCCCTGGTCGACCGAGCCCGGACGACCGAGGGGGGTTGTTGTCGAGCCAGTCGATAACAGAGCTCGATGGTCAAGGTAATCCAGTGCGACAAGCGTTGCGCCGTGATCGGCAGGCCCACCTTATCGAGGGCATATGCAACAAAAAGTCTCTGCGATCATCGAGACTGAGCAGTCCTGTCCCTATAGCACAGCAATGCTCTCCGCACATCAAGCATATGAAGTCTCCTTTCCCCCGGGGTAGAGGGGGACTGACACAACGAGGGAAGGACAATGTCTTCATTAACATGGAAGGGGGACACGACCTTAGGGAGGAATGTCACATCTGTGCGGAGAACTGCTCTATCCTCGTGGACAACAAAATAGGGTTCGTCCACCCGTAACGCCGCCAGCTCCGACGGCCGACGGGCTGAGGTGATCGCGACCAGGAAGGCCACCTTCCATGACAACAACCGAAGTTCAATCGAAGACAATGGCTCGAAAGGCGGTCGAGTGAGCCGAGCCAGTACGAGGTCGAGGTCCCAACCTGGAGTTGGAGAACGGACCGGGGGATGCAGGTTGTTGAAACCTCGCAGAAAGGACCTCACGGAGCTATCCTTAAACAGGGAAGCTTCTCCTGTCCGTTGAAGCTGCCACGATATGGCTGCCAAGTGAGACTTGAGTGAAGATAGCGACAAGCCTCGTTCGGTAAGGTGCAACAAGAACGAGAGAATTGCCGGTACCGAAGGTCGATGATCGTCTAGGCCTTTCTCGGAGAGGAAGGCCTGGAAACGGCTAAGGCACGCTGAGTAACACTTTTTGGTTGCTGGCTTGTGAGCTGCTTCCAGGATTGGAAGAACTCCTGGACACAGGGATCTCAACACCGGATCCTCCACGCCGAAAGATGCAGAGAAGCGAGGTCGGGGTGGAGAAGCTGACCCTCTTCCCGGGAGAGCAGGTCCTGCCGAAGTGGAAGGCGCTTCATTCGCCCCTCGGACAACTGGAGTAGGACCGAGAACCACGGTTGTCGTGGCCACTCCGGCGCCACCAAGATGCAGTCTGTTCGCGCCGACTGGATCCTCTCGATCACCCTCGGGATGAGCGGGAAGGGGGGGAAGAGGTAAAGCAGATGCCTCGACCAGTCCAACAGGAACGCGTCTCCGAGACACCCCGGTACCGTGTTCGGAGCAAGTCGAGCACCGAACTGAGGAAGCTGAGCGTTTTGCGGCGACGCGAAGAGATCTGCGGCTGGGAGGCCCCATTCCCTGAAGATCTCCGCCAGTACGTCGGGGTTCAGCCTCCACTCGTGGGATGTTGCCCTGGTTCTGCTGAGTACGTCCGCCTCGACGTTGGCTTCGCCCGGGAGGTGTAAGGCTGTTATCGACACCGACCTGGCTACACACCAGTCCCAAAGTTCCATTGACAGCTTGAGAAGTTTTCTCGAGCCCGTTCCTCCCTGTTTGTTCACATAGAACATTGCCACCATGTTTTCCGTGAGGATCTGGACAGACTTCCCCGTGACCAGGAGGGCAAACGCTCTCAGGGCTTTGAAGATCGCTAGCAGCTCCAAGTAGTTGATATGGGACTGTCTTTCTTGAGGAGACCAGAGGTCGTGTACCGAGAGTTCTCCTGTATGGCATCCCCATGCGAACATCGAGGCGTCCGTCGTGATCGTGACGGCTGGGGGCTCTGGATGAAAGGGAATGCCCTTGCAGACATGCTGACGGTTCATCCACCAGTTTAGCGAGTCCTTTACCGACCTCGGTACCAGCAGGCGTTTTGCGGCGCTGTCTCGCATGGGGTTGAAGTGGTCCAAGAACCATCTCTGGAGGGGACGGAAGCGGAGCCTTGCCAACGGCGTCACCATCACCGTGGAGGCCATGTGTCCGAGGAGGACCTGTATCTGCTTCGCCGGGACCACTCGGGATCGACGCACCTTGAGCGCTTCGGCTCGAAGAGCTCTGAATCTCTCCTCCGGAAGGAAGACTGTCTGGGAGAGAGAATCGAACATGGCGCCGATGAACTTTATGCAAGTGGTGGGCTCGAGCTGGGATTTCTCCTCGTTCAACTGGAGGCCCAGGTCTTCGAGGAGGGAGAGTGTCCTTGCCACCTGCGCTCGCAGGAGGTCCGGGGAGCGTGCCGCCAACAACCAGTCGTCTAAGTAAGGAAAAATGCGGATTTTTTCCCTTCTGAGGGCCGCTGCGACCACCGACATGCATTTGGTGAAAGTTCTCGGTGCCGTCACGAGACCGAACGTGAGGACGTTGAACACGTATGTCTGTCCCGCTACCCTGAAGGCCAGGAAGCGTCTGTGATGTTTTCTGACCGAGAGATGGAAGTAAGCGTCCCGGAGATCGACGGACGCGAAAAAGTCCCCATATCTGAGGAGCGGGAGAATGGACGATACCGTCACCATCCGAAACTTCTGCGGTTCGATGAAAGAGTTTAAGTCTCTGAGATCGAGGATGGGGCGAAGGGAGCCATCCGGCTTTGGGACAGTAAAGTATCTGGAGAAGAAGGCTCGATGGTTTTGAGAGTCCGGGAGAGGGGAAATTGCCCCTTTCAAAAGCAAGGTATTGACCTCTGTCAGGATCGCCGAGGAAGGCTCGGTATCGACAATCAGCCCTGTTGGTGGGAGCTCTTCGAACTCCAATGCATAGCCTTCGTCGACAATCTTTAAAACCCATGCATCTGAGGTGATATTTTCCCATGCAGGGAGAAAGTTCGTCAGGCGATCTCCGAACGGTGTCGAGCCGGATGGAAGGATGAGGGCGGGTACCATTGGGAGGGACATGGGAACAACATCGGTAACGAAACTGCAAACGGTATCGTCCACAAGGGCGTCAAATGCGGCGCCTGGCCTGGTTGCCTCCTGAAGCCTGGCGAGAACGAGAGCGCTGCTGCTGGTGCTGCCTTCGTTGCTGTTGGGGTTGTTGAGGATGGGTTTGTTGGGAGGTCTGCAGGGGACGGGCTGGATGACGGTACTGAATGGTACGGTACGGGACCATTCAGGGTGGTCATAGCAGCACGATCCTCGGCAGACATCCTCTGGAAAAATGGTTCTGCCTTCTCCCAGAGAATTTGTTGGTACGCCCCCATACAAGCCCCATAGTTCGCCATGCGGGCCAGCAAGAGGGCACCGGAGTAGAGCTTCCTGCCCACTGCGTCGAACCTCTTCCCTTCACGGTCGGACGGCGCCGACGACTGCCTTCCAAAACCTTGAGCTGCTTTCACGACCACCGAGTTAGGGTCGGGATGGTGCTTCAGCCACTCCAAACCCTCATCGTCCGTTCTGTACCAAGACTCAATTTTCTTGGAGGTTGGAGGGATGGAGGAGGGGGTCTTCCAAGAGCCCTGGATCACTTCAAGAAGGTAGGGAAGGAAGGGTAGGAGAGGAGCGGGTGGGGACTCCGCTTGCACCCTTTTGAACACCGGGTCTAGCACTGCCTTGGTAGTCTGCTTGACCTCCAGGCCTAAAGCATCAGCCATGCGAGCCATTTGATCCGCAAAGGCTCGGACATTGTCAGTGGGAGACGGAGGATCCGCCTCATAGGCATCGTGGGTAGGCGACCTCTCGATCCCGAGAGACAACACCGATCCCGAGTGTACCGATCCCGGTAACTCGCCATCCTCTTCTTCGTCAGCAGCCACGGATTGGGGAGGAGGGGATGAGGAGACATCCCGACTCGGGCGCTGCGGTGGAGCCACTGGGGGGGCTTTTGAGGCTGAAGCCTGAATGGCACGGGCCAGTCTCATAGTCTGCCTGCCCCTTTCCGGAGTCTCCAGCACTGGAGAAGTCTCCTGTCTGCTGTCACAGTAGTCAAAGTCGTGACCGACGGGAAAAGCTCCTGTCTGGCTGTCACATGGCGAGTTGGTGCCTCGATCACCGTGTCCACCGAGATCACCAGGGACACGGGCTGCTCCAAAGGCTGCTCCGGCAAGGGTTGTGGCTCCTGAACCGGCTGCGGGGCCCGCTGGGGCTCTGCAGGCTGCGACGGCGATGACCTCGCCGACGAGGTGGCCGAGGAGGCGGTGGTTTGCTTCCGGGAAGAAGAAGAAGAGGAGGACGGAGGCGGCATCACCTTCTTCTTCTTTGCCGGCGGTTGAGCAGACTTCGACACTGACTTGCCCGGGGTGGGCGGGACAGAAGATGAGGTGGAAGCACGGCGAGACTCTTCTTGAGACCGGCGAAAGGCAATGCGGACCGCCGTGGAAGATGGCGGAGTCGCCGATGTCGACCTCGTGGACCTGATCGACCTCACCGACGCCACGGAGCTGGTCGACGAGTGTCGGATGCGTACGGTCTCGGTAGTAACCGTACATGGAGCCTTCTGTTTTGTAGGCTTTGTAGCCTTAGAGGCTGCCGACACTGAGGTCTTCGAAGTTGTCGACATAGCTGCTCTCGGCCTTTTCTGCGCGGCCTTCTTCGCTCTTGTTTGGCGAGGCCCGGCCTCCGCCGAGGGATCGACAGGTGTTGTTGTCGATGCCTTCGAGGTCGAAGCCGATGTCGAAGGCCTGGATACCGCGGCTGACGTCGACGCCGATGTCGATGTTGAAGGTACCGGAGCTAACGTCTGCTGGTACAGCAGGTATCGAAGTCGATGGATCCGGTTCTTACGGGACTGTGCCGTCAAAGATTGACAATGACGACACGAAGAGGTAATGTGTGCCTCTCCGAGACACAAAAGGCAAAGAGCGTGCTTGTCCGAATCAGGAATCTTCCTCGGACAGTTCGCGCATCTTTTGAAGCGAGTTGTTGACATAATCCAGTCAACAACTCGAGGAAAGAACTCTAAGAAGAATCACTATCCAACTAGAAGTACCGAAGCGAGCCGTGCGGCGGAAAAAAAGGAATTGGATCGGTGTGCGCGGGGCGCCCTTTTATCCCCTGCCGGGGCTGGGCGGAGTTACCGCCAAAACTTGAAAAGTTTTAAAATGTAGAAGTTTCCGTTGGAGCCCGCGCAGGTGCAGACTCTCCACAAGTGTGCATTCGCAGAGACCACGAAGAAAAACCATTTTTTAAAAAAATAATAATCTCTGATCCATTTCAGCAGAGTCTGTAGCATACCTAAAATACTGTGATCCATTATTCCACTAATACTTTTTTAAAAAATATATAAAGCACAGGAAAATAAACTTAAAATTAACTTTTAATAAGGCCTACATTGAATCAATCCTTCGTAGAGTTACACAAGCATTTGTTTCAGTCAAATGTAAAGCATTAAATAGGTGTATATGTTTTCTGTTTGAATGCTAAGTTCTTTGCATTCTAGAAATAATTTGTAAGTTTTATATTCCCTATTTTCTCTGGCTAGCTCTAGTGTCTCTGCCTGGCACTTAAAATACTATCAACTACCAATTTGTAGGGGCCTCCCTGGTGGCACAGCTACTGAACTTGCTGACTGAAAGGTTGGCTGTTCGAATCTGGAGAGCAGGGTGAGCTCCCGCTGCTAGCTCCAGCTGTTACCAACCTAGTAGTTTGAAAACATGCAAACGTGAGAAGATCAATAGGTATCGCTCCGGCGGGAAAGTAACAACTCTCCATGTAGTCATGCTGGCCACATGACCTTGAAGGTGTCTCCTGACAATGGCGACTCTTTGGCTTAGAAATGGAAATGAGCACCAACCCCCAGAGTCGGACATGACTGGACTTAATGTCAGAGGAAACTTTTACCTTTATATCAATTTTACGGTTTACCTTGCTGCTGTTTTGCCCTTAATGTCCCCAAGAAAATGTACAACAATTTTTCTCAAGTGGTATGGGAAGTCCCTAATTTCTCCTTCCCTCCCTCCTCCATCCACTTGCAGTCTTCATAAACATATTCTGAGAAAAGTTAAGAATCTTTCAGAAGTACTACCAACTCTTTGTGGATAATTCTGAGTTGCGGATAAGTTTCAGTTAAGTGTTAAAATAACTGGTACAAATTTTTTAAAAAACAAAAGGTGTTGTTTTTCTAGCATGCGGGAGCCTACAAGTCAAAAAATCATGCTACCTTTCCAGTTATCCTAATTTTTCAAAAAGATACTGTCTATAACTGATCTTGGTCCAACAGAATCTGTAAATTATTCTGTTTGTCTTGCATAGCAATACAGTACTTGTCTTAATATAAAATAATTAAATTGTAAAACAAAAAAAAATGAATGACTGATAATCATTGTCCAGTTGTGGATGCCTCTTATCTGATCAGAAAATCATCTCCTTCGCAGTTTCGGTGTCAGAACTGCTCATCTTCACAAGTCTGCGCACAGGATGGCTCTTTTTATCAGGTAAGAGGCACTCCCGACTGTACACATTACAGTCATTGAAAATATCCATTATCATTCAGATTGGATGGGAGGTGGGTATTATTCTTCATCTCATACAGGCAGTCCTCGAGTTTCAAACATCTGACTTTCAAACAACTCATAGTTAAGAACCAGGGTGAAACAACAGGAGGTGAGAGAAATCTACCCCACAAAAGGGAAATTCCCTCCTGAAAGACTCGTGGGGGAAAGGTGTCTCACCTGAAGCTTTCGCACCCATCCTTGTTTCCACAACAGCCAATTTTTTCAAAATCCAATTATCACAGGACAGAAAGTGAGGTGAAGTCTTCTGAATAAGGACACAGACAGCAAAACAAACACCACAGGAGTGTTAACCCTTCCCTATGCTGTCCAAAGCATGCATGCATGCATGCACGCATGTGTGTGTGTGTGTATGAATGAGATGGGGTTACACTGAAAAATGTGCCTGTTCCAACTTACATACAAACAAGGATCAGAGAAAAAGCTTCAGTTGAGACACCTCTTCCCTATAATAATTCTTTCAGGAGTTTATTTCCTTTCCTGGGGTTAGATTTCTCTCACTTCCTTTTTTCTAACTCCCATCATTGGTAAGTTGGATGTTTGTAACTCGAGGACTGCCTGTATTCAAGAGATTTGACATATGAAATGACAATAAATTGGGAGTAAAACAACTACCTATATGTCCAACTGAAAGCAAACTTGAAGTTATCAGTTTATACATACTTTAATCACTAGTTTCAGTTTGGTTTCTGCCAAGTTTATACATCATCTAATGTCCAGCACTATACTTTACTCTTGATCTCTGTATAACAAATATCTGAGCACTTAGGTCTACAGTGTTGAGTTAGATTCCATAATATGGTAACCAGGCAATGACATTTTGCATTAAGATTTAGCGTGAGTTATTTCTTGCATCTACTTTTCACTAAGGAATATTAATATTTTATTTCATCATTAGGATTTTATCAAATTGCAACCTAGAATTTCAAAGCAATTACTTAAATAATTTTAGTGAACTAATTGTCAAAATGATACATTTCTGCACTAAATGTAATTTTAGAAAAGTGAGGGACATTTGTTGAAGAATCATGGACACAATGCAGTTGTCTTATTGGGATTGATTTCTTGTAGAGAGAGGCAGAATAAAAGTGAACTCATAAATATCTTGGCCACAATCCTATTCAATAGTTACATCTTGGGCTTATGGTTTTCTAACTGCTGGGAATCTGTGCTTATAACCCCTAACAACTGAATATGAACCCTAAAATACATCTTTTTATTCTGGCCTTGCTCCCTGTCTTGATTGCAAGGAATAATTGAGTTGAAGCAGGACCTTGAGGGGATTCTCCAGATGCCTATTTTTGGTGCACTGAAAATGACTGCTAAATTTTGGAGCCACCACTTTCATATATAACACATGTATTTCTTACATGTTAACACATGTTGTGAACTGGTCCAAATCCCTCTTTGAAGGTGAGAAAAACCTCGAAATAAATAATAAATAAATAATATATAGAAAGGAAGGAAATACTCGTTATTGCCAGTTTGTATAGCTCTATGAAGCTGAAGGGTGGTTTTGTTTTGTTTTGTTTTTTTGCACTCTCTTGTGCCATAGAAAACTGCTACAGTTATCGCCACATTGAACCAGTAAATGCAGTGTGAAATCAGTGGTGCCACCAGTATAGCTCCTGGTACACTGGGAGTGGAGTCCCATACAGCCTGCCCACTGAAAGTGAGAAGTTGCTCATCTCCAGCCCGACTTACTTCCAAGGCTATGTGATATGAGATGAAATGAATTCTTCATTTATAGAGGCCCAATCATTTGATTTTTTCCTTCCAATATGTATAAGTTGATAAAACATTGATAATTGAATGTATATTAATAATCAAATTGCTCATGTCCTTGTGTCTGTGTGCTGTCATTGTTTTTGTTCTGTTTTCATTGTGGTTTTAGTCTTACCCCATGGTACTCCAGTATCGACCCAGAATTGACTTCGGTTAGACCAAAGGGCCAGATCCCACTGAGATTAATCCTGCACTGTGTTTACCCATCGACAGATTGCACAATGAATGGATGTGCCTGGATTGGGGGAGGAGAGGGACATAGCCAGAATTTCGGCATGGAAACATGGACTTTTTCTTCTTCTGATCAACTACTTTTTCCCTCCCCTTGTTAGAATAAGCCAAGTGCCATTCTGCTACTGAAACACTCATGAGATATTTGTGGCATCAAAGACTGAAAATTGTAGCCAAATTGTTAAATGTATAGTCAAGAGTCTCAATCTCTGAATATTTTATTTGCCTGTTAGAAACCTTCACTGGTCCATGACATTGGTTATGTTAGCAGAGATAGCCATCTGCTCTTTCACATTTGGTGTTGCAATTGTTGTTTTTCACTTGTATTATTTTACTGAAAATATTGTTTAAAATAAGTACTGTATAAAAAGGTTATATCTATACCTTAAAATATTTTGTATATAATATATGTTTTAGAAATGTGGTTATTGTGCCACTACCTTTATCTTGTTCAGTTTCACATAGATCCAGGTATAGCTCACTCATTAGTTTGCAGCAGTGTTTTTGTAGCATCTGAAAACTTAGATTTTCTGTCAGCAAAAGTTAAATACGTTCCATCAAAATTGAACAGAAAGGGTCTAATATGTATCATAGCTTTTATTCAACTGCACATATGTGACTTTATAGAGAGTTTTTTGACTTGGAGAAGTACCAATTCAGCAGGTAAGGTTGCCTTTTCAAAAAGTTTACTTCAAAAACAAGGAAAAAGCAGGAACCTTCAAGATTGATTTCTTCCAAATGGTATTTATCTCTTGTCAATACATGCTTCCCTTTTTGAAAATCTTTTTTTCTATATATTTTTTTTAAATATTGGCAACAATGAAAAAGAGCATAGGCTGAAACTGGTGGTCTTAATTATGGTGGATTAAGACTACAGGTTTTTAAATAGACCTCCCTCTGACCATATCGAGTGAGATACAGCAAGATACTGTAAAATGCAGCAGTATTGTAGCATTCACAACCACATACTATGGTCAGTTGGAATTTAGCACTATTGTAGATCTTGTTGTGACATCTAAAACTGAGATATATTTATATATTAACTACCTGATTAAAACTTCTGGCTTTTTCAGGGTTTTCTTTTTCATAGAAATCAGTAATATTACAAAAATGTTCATGGTTGCCTTAGTATTCTTTCTAGTTTGAAGCATCTTGTGTTATGGTTATCATTGCAGAGATCATAATATACATTATATTTTCCTGTCTTCCATTATTTTGCATAATTAATAGCCAAAATAACAATATAGTTCGGTAGTCCATACAACTCCTAATAAATACATTCATTGGTGTAGTAAATCAGACACCATAAATAATTTAACTTACTTTAACAAGCTATGGTGTGCTACTCCTAATAAATACATACGTTTGTGTAGTGAACCGGACACCATAAGTAATTTAATTTACCTTAACAAGCTGTGGTGTAATTAAGGCAGTTTAGGAGCTATGACACAACAACTGAGCTTGCTAAAGAAGGGATGAAAATATAAAAGATTATAGACTGTTGTAGCTGGAGAAATAGTGCGAAATTCTTGCAAAACCAAATGTTCCCCTGAGGCTTCATACGAGAGACATGAGTTCCACTCTAGAGCAATTTAAATAAGAGCAGACTACTGTGTTTCAAATCCAATACTTGCATAGTTTCCTCTTCCTGCACAGTGTGGTCAGAGCTGACAAACACAACAAATCAGAAGGACTGTTGAACCCATGTGTAGATGCATTGTAAGGGTCTGCCCTCCTGTGGTAGAGAACATGCAGCTGTCTAGCGGCTGGGTTAATGGGAGATCCTGTACAAAAGATCCTATCAACCCTGGCTATTGGGCATGCTATCTGTGAATGATAGGATTTGGACTCAAACAGCATGTTCTCTCTTCCTGATCTGGGCTTCTTGAAAGGATGTATGCATATTCAGTAAAATCGCATCACTTTTTCTGCCTTTGAACAACTTTTCTGCAGTTTCCTTCCATTTCCAAGATACGTACTATTCTGCATGTGAGATTAGCGCTTATAAACACCAAGTCTACAGTTCCTTTGGGCTTATAAAACTAAATATGTGGAGCTTAGTCAGCTTTTTACACATTCATGTAAACATCAACTTCCAGTATAGACTTGACTATGTTACAAAAATGTTTTCTATCTGCATATTAGCATTTATAGAATGTGTGCAAATTCCCATTTGCTAAGAGCTCATTTGAACTTTATCTAGGAGCCCTGCTAATGGTGTATATAGCCAAAGGATATACAAATTATTTCTTCATCTTCTACCAAGAATTTGGACAACATAAAAAGCAGGAGAAGTACCTGCTGAATTCCAGTGCAGAACATGTATATATTGTCATAAGAAATACATGTGAGTCATCACTTGAGTTGTTCCCCCAGAATTTGAGGTTTCCTTCAAGTGTAGCTTTTCATTAGTATTGGAACTAGTTTCTCAATATTGATGCTGTGGAGGGGAATTCAGTTGGCTAGAAGGACATATCAGTTCTTTCCTACCAGTGCTTTGCAGTGATATGGCAGAACGTATCAGTTCTTTCCTACCATTCACTTTCTGCACTCACACAAATAGCAGAACAGTCTTATTTCCAAATAGATGTATTTCTTTTTGAATTTTTTCAGATTTCCTGTGCAAAATTAAAGCCTTTGTTTGACTCATAAGAGGAAATGTAACATTTCAAAGCTTCGTTTCAGCTCATTTCAAAACATTCTAAAACAAATAGATTTTTTACTTTAATTTAAGCCTTTTTATACTCTCATAGATCAATAGCTTTTCTTTTCACTGTATAGAAAGGATCATATGAAACCAAGCATCTGTGGTCAAAATGCAAAAATGTTCATTCAGTTTTAGACTAGAACCTATACCTATTTCATTTTCCTTGATTAATGAGAGTAGATTTTTTTGAATTATTTTTTAAAAATCATGTAATTCCAAGACAGATTTGTCAACTGTGAAACTGAGAGCCTTAATAAGTTTCTTGCACATGTAAACTCCTTGTGGCCTACAGTTTTTTTTGTTTGTTTCTGATACCGTTGCACAGTGCCTCTGCCCAGTTGGTTGGAAAAAGGCCACCACTAGATGTCTTCTAGAGAACTTTGTAATGTCTTCATATACCAATGAAAGATTCTGCCCATTCGCATTTTACAGCACTCATAAACATTTTATTGTCCCAAGAAATAACTAAAAATGAAAGGTTAATCAGAGACTACAGGGCTAGGGAACAATTGCAAGTGAAGACATTCGTATTCCTTTCAAATTATGGATAGGGAGATTTGCATTGCAAAGTGTAAATCAGAACTGGAGGGCACGGGTTTCACAAGATGGGTGATAGCAGTGGTGTTTGATCTGGATCACTTATGAGCCTAGAATGTCCTGAGGGCTTTATATTCCAAATCATGACTTCTATCACTGAGTTATGAGATGGAATCATAACTCAATGGTAGACCACAAGTATTGCATTGAGAGGGCTTCTTGGTCAACTGCTAGCATGTTTAATTTCAAGGATTTTGGTTACCAGGTAATTAAAAATGACAAAATTGGACAACTGCTGAATAAGTAGACAATACTAGAATTGAGTGACAAGAAGTACGAGCCAGTATAATTTTTTTAGCATTGAAAAAAATCACTCCAAATACATAGATTTGTTTCCCTTATAGCAAATTGGCCATTTTCCCCTCACAGAAGCATTTGAAGCTACTGTTTAGCATGTTCTGTTCAAAGATTGTACTAGTGCTGTAGTATTGCTGTGCCTTGGTACTCACATTCAAAGCACCAAGAGATTGCAACAAGCCATATGTTATATATGTAGACCGCATGGTTGAACTGAAGCAGCAATGTTATAACTTAAATGCTAAAATGTTCCTGCTTTACTTCCCAATAAAGCAGTGGTTCTCAACCTGTGGGTCCCCAGTTGTTTGGACCTACAACTCACAGATATCCCAGCCAGTTTTACCAGCTGTTTGGATTTCTGGGAGTTGAAGGCCAAAACATCTGGGCACCCAAAGGTTGAGAACCACTGCAGTAAAGAAATTTCAGCAAGATGGTACTAAACAGTATCTTTCATGTGCCAAATGATTTGCTTTTTTCTTTCCCTGTTTTTTCCTTTCTTCTTTGGATGGTGTCCAATTTCCAATGTCTATGTAATACAAATCTGTTAAATCAGCTTAGATTATAAAATATTAAAACATCCAATATTTCATGTTCAAAAAGTCAATAATTTAAAAACAATTATTTAAGTGTTAGGTGGAGAAAATACTTTAAAGAATGTATAGGAAGAATGCTCTTCTTAATTTTGGAGTGCAAATGGTCCACTGCTGGAGAGTAGTCGCCACTTTGAATCTCATTTAGGGCGGGTGGACAGGATATAAATAAAAAAAGAAGAAATAATAAGAAAAAAATATTTCAATGGCTGCTTTTGTCTCTTGCTGAAGCAAAGCATTAGACTAAATGTGCAATTTTATGCTGCATTTATTAATATGGCATATTTTATGTGTATATATGCTTCTAGAATTGCAGGCATAGTACCAAACAGACAAAAAAAAAATAAAGGCAAACACATATAGTTTATATGTATTTGCTGAAAGGAACAGAGTGATATAGACAGAGGCCAGAATCCTACTGAGCAGTTCTAGATCCTTAACTACCTACGCAGTGAATTCTGGCTCAATTCTCCAATCCCCATTTACCTGGAAGCAGATGATGCACTCAGCAGGGATCTATTCTCCTGTAGCTTGAAAGGCAGTTGGCTGACATTCCGCCATTGCAACAGGCAGAAGTGAGGACCTCTAGCAATTCCTCCTCACCCCTAAAATCACTTGTAACAGGGTAGGATAGAACCATTCACTAATTCCTAACTCACAGAGGAATGGATCACTGTTGATTGCAGTGGCTTCTTCCTGGTAAGGAGGGATTTGGAGACTCTCCTAGTCGCTAGGTATTTCCTAAACTAGGTATTGTGTAGGGATTGGAAGTACCACACAGTTATGAACTCAGAACTCTGAGTTACACATTCATGTCATGTTTAGCAATTTGCGAGATAAAATAGGAAGCCAGTTTCCATATTATTTGTAACGTTAGTTAAAGTTTACGTAAGCAAGACCCCTGGGGACTTGTTTCCCCTAAGAATGGAATTCTTATTTTGCCTAGAATCAGATTTTGTTGTTATTTTTCAGGTGGATTATGCCTGCATTATTATCAGTTGATTGAGAATTTATCTCACAACCCTCAAAAAAGGAAGGAGTATATTTTACAGAAATCGCCTTTTCTCCTTTTTCATATATTTGTGTGGGTGCCCTATTAGTTATCTCTTAGGCCCCTTCCACACAGCTGAATAAAATCCTAGATTATCTGCTTTGAATTGCAATATATATGGCAGTGTGGACTCAGGGCCCTTCCACACAGCCCTAACTCCCAGAATATCAAGGCAGAAAATCCCACATTTTCTGAGTGTGGATTGTGGGAGTTGAAGTCCAAAACATCTGGAGGGCTCAAGTTTGCCCATGTCTGGATACTTATAGACATGGTTTGGTTTAGTTCAGTGGTTCTCAACCTGTGAGTCCCAGATATTTTGGCCTTCAACTCCCAGAAATCCTAACAGCTGGAAAACTAGCTGGGGTTTCTGGGAGTTGTGAGCCAAAACACCTGGGGATCCACGGGTTGAGAACCACTGGCTTAGTGGATTTTATGCACTCCTTTAGTAGTTTCTGCCCTTTAGATTAACAAATGAGGCAATGCCAAGTGATGCATTATATATCAGTTGATTTGTTGCATCTTTTCCACATTAATGAGTAATTTCTTTTTTTAAAAAAAAACCCTCAAAACTACTGAATTTTAAATTTTGCTTCTTAATTGATCTATTTGTTAACTTTCTGGAAAGCAACAAAATAGATTCTCCCATAGTACACTATCCAAAAGAGAAACTATGACTTATTGAAATGCATATATTTACATATACTGACGTAGAGTCATTGTATGCATACTTAATGAGGACGCAAGTACCACTGCTATTAATGGGATTGACTTCTGAGTAAGCATACATACTATGGACTTAAGAATCCTTATAAAATGTGATCCAAGAAGAAAGAATATGAGTAGTAGGATATCTGTATTTCGTTGTATCTGGTTGGTGATTTATCAGTTTGTACTGCAACAGATCTTGCCATTGGTTTAGTTCTTGATGTGTTATAGCCCATTGCTGATTTTGTTTTGAAGTATGACATATTTTAAGCTTTTCGTCAAAAGTGGTAACATCTTATAAGAAACCTTTTTGTGGTTGTAAAATTTAGCTTATAAATCATTCAAATTGAAGTGAAAAATACCAAGTCATTATTAATGACATAGTATAGCCTACTTATTAAAAAATATATGTATTTTTGTAATGGAAATGCACTTGTAAATATTTAATTTGTCTATTATCTCTGGTTTGTTCTGGGGAAAACGCTGCTGTTTAGGGGAATCACCTTATTATTTTTAGTTTTGGGCTTAAATGTATTTTTGTTCCTTTGCATTTGTGGCATGTTCATTCTGTACAATGCTAAGTAGTTACAACTGGGCTAAATGCATTTCATACCGGGGCATATCCAATTACATCTTGTTCATGACAAGTCTCTCATTAAATCCTACCTGAAAGCAGAATATACATTTGATGCTGTTTTCATCTTTAATATTAGCTACCTTCTACTTAACAACATTCCTGCTTTTGCTATTATGTTACAACAAAGTTATCATTTCATTACGAAGATCACATTCCAGAGAGATCTATCAATACAGTTTATAATAGGTTTGCCATCTTTTTGTAGCAATAATATTGTGCTCATTTGCATGCATATGAGCACAGCTAAGTATGCATGGCAGGTTGAGCCATAGTAAGGTCTAGTGCAGTAATTCCCAACTTGTGGTCCGTGGACCACCAGTTGGCCACAAGAACTAAATTATGGTCTGCGGCCTCACTGTTACTACACCCTTGCGAGACTGGTCTCGCAAAACCCTCATGTGGTGCCGAGGCTTATTAAATATGGTTTCTGTGGGCAAACAGATGGTGACTACTGGATGGCATATGTTCTGTATCAGAGACTAGAGCTGATGTGATCTATCCAATGCAGTTTCCTTAATCAGCACCCCAAATAACCAAACTGAATTTAAAGTTGACCAAAAACCGATTCGTAACCCTTTTGGTACTAATGTTGGAGAGTTGTCCCTAGTCAAAGTGGTCCCTGGTCAAAAAAAGGTTGGGAACCACTGGCCTAGTGAATTGGTGTAAAATGTAAAGTAAAATGGCAGGAAAGAACCATAAGAAAAAGTAGAAGTGGGTCATCATAGACTGGTAGCTGCCGGGCCCATGGTCAATTTATTTTTTACTGATTCCGTGCCAAAGACATTGGTTGGCTCACTAAACCCGGTTCACAAATACATTCTCATGTTCCCCCAAATTTTGTTTTGTCATATCAATACAATAGATAGGTAGGCAGACAGGTAAATATTCATATTCCAAATGTAGGGAAGAATGTGGGTTTTTATACCTGGATATTTTGCAAATATGTTCCCTAGGAAACTGTTCTTGGAAACACACAGCATTTCAGCGGTAGTTAGTGTGTGACACATACAAAGTGGAGTTTCTTCCAGCTGTTCTTTTAAAATAGGGAAAGCCTTTGAAAATTCTGCAGTGGGATAATTATTTCTTAACATTTCTTTCCTGAGCCACTAAATACTCTATAGCAGACATGGGCAAACTATGGCCCTGTTGGACTGATGTGGCCCACAGGGTGCTTACCTCAGGCCCTCTTCGTTTTCCCTGTCCTCTCAGCATAAGGACACATTGGCTTGCCACATCCTTATGCAGAAAGAATGGGGGAGGAAGATACACAGCAGCTGAGAGCCCTCTGGAGCACTCTCTGCCATCACATGTCTCATTTTTCTCCTGGCATAAGGATGGGGCAAGCAGGACCCAGGAGGACAACCTGGGGATGACCCGGGTCCTGTCCCATGCCCTCCCAGCCCCACCTCTCACAGGCCCTCTGCCTCCCAGACCCATTTCATCCAGCATGTGCCTGGCCCAGCCCGGCCACTCGGTTGAGCCCACAATGCAGCCCCGTGGCAAAAAAGTTTGCCCATGACTGTTCTATAGAATTAGGAAAGTTGAAATATAGCTGGAACTGAATCTAGTGGTCAAAAACTGGTTCCAGGTCATTTTTGTGATTCTAAGATTTTATCTAGTTTGAATCCTTGTAGGCCTGTAGAAGGACTCCATGCATGTAAACACACCAGTGGAATACAGTAGCAATGGGTCCATCTGAATGACCCAAAGTTCCCTTCTTCATTTTGTGCCCTGTCTCTGTATTTTAATATTGTTTGTTAATCTTTTTTTTAAAAAAAATCTTTATTAATAACATTTCCAAATTATAGGAAATAAATATAGTGTTTACATCGAAAGTAGGAGAACATTTTATAGATAAAAGAATAGTAGGAAAAAGTAAAAAGTTGATGTGTGAGAGGGGAGCCCCCCCCCAAAAAAGGAGATAGAAGGTGTAAAAATAAATTTTAAAAAAGGATATTTGTTAATCTTAACTTCCTTTGAAGCCTAATATGTATCTGAAGGTAGATACCATTAAACTGCGTAACAGATGTGAATATTTTCTCACATTTGCAGAAATACACTGTTATAATCAGTCTTAAAAAGAGGTACATAAAAGGTTGAAGCCAAGAAAAGAGTAGGTAGGTGAAAAACAGAATGAGGATCCTGTACCTTTAATGCTTGTGTAGCTACTAAAGGTACAGAAGCTTTCTCCAAGCCCAAATTCATGTACTCATCCACTTGTTCACAGCTACTTTTGCTTAATAATTTTATGAAACATAATTGACATAATTACATGTCACTTCTTTGACATAATAACTGTTTTTCAAACCCTGTATGCAATGCTAATATTAATAATGTCCACAGCATCACTGTAAGCTTCTGACAGAAACCACATCCTGTAAGTCCATATGCTGCAATATGCTTTTAGCCCAGTTGAACAAAATCCTATAAAAATCAAGTTGGGCAAGTTGTATAAATAATTTGCTTGTTAGCACTGAATTGCTATTTTCTGAAAGCAATAAATATATCCATGTTGTAACATCTGTTTGTGCAACCTATGTGAAGAGGCATTTTGTTGCACTTTTGTTTTTCTATATAATTTATTTTGTGCTATAAAAAGAATGATTTGTTTCATCTGGAAATGTGTCTCATTTATAACGAATGTGTTTTCTGATACCAGATAATGTAACGTACATAGCAAAACGGTTTCATGCTAATGATGTCAACTTTAACAGAGTTCACTGGAATGGAAGTTCAAGTAGTGTCCATATTTAGCAGTAGCCGTTTTTACTTGCAGTTCAAATCTTTGCACATGGAATGTATATTTGGGTTTGAGTCCATACTACGGCTATATTCCAGGTCTTGCCCTGGTTTGATGCCTTTAGTGTCACACTAACTTATTTAAATCTGGACATAAATTGGCATTGGCAGCTATACATTTTCCCCACCTGAAGTCATATCAATACAAAATAAATTTCCAGTCATAGTCATATGTTCATTATATCAGATTATTTTAGGTTACGCAACTGCATGAATATGCAGACACACACATATTCATATCAACCAATAGCATTCATTCCTTTCCTGTCATTGTGAACTTACACCTGCACTTCGATTGATAGCCTTGTATATACTTCTCTCACCAGGATCCCTTGCCCGCATTCCTTTATTTTCACCAGGAAACTCCATGGGCGTAAGTGTGTAAGACTTGCCAAAGGTCTCCCAGTGAGTTTTCATGGATGAACAGGGATTTGAATCTTGGTTTCCACAGTCATTGAAACCACCGGCTCACACTGGTTCTCTAGTGGGGTGAAATGTGGCATGCAGCAGCATAGACTCACACCCTGTTACTGGGAGATAGCTGGACACTTCATTGTTTAATGCCCTATTTTATTTATTATTTATTTCAGATATTTGTATCCCGCCCTTCTCAACCCCGGGGAGTGGGGGGGGGGGGTGCTCCGGGTAGTGATTTGATGCCTCCAATGTACACATAGTAAAATACATAATAAAATCCAATAATACGTACATTAAAGACATTAAATCATATTAATTAATTAAAATCTGTTTCTGTTTCAATAACAGCCTGGTGGCCTTTTCTGAACCGAATTCTGTAGTTAGAAACTCCATTAAGCATGTCCATGGTGCCTTTCCATAGCAATTGTCATTATTGTCACTGTCATTGTCAGCAAGATTACCTGAAGGCCTGGTCTCACATCCACATTTGTAACTCCTTTCTAAAGGAAAGGAGGGATGTTGATAATCTATTTTCACCAGGGAGTGAATTCCACAGATGGGGGGCAACCACCAAGAAGGCCCTGTCCCTCGTCTTCGCCAAGTGTGTTTGCAACATGGGCGGGGCCAAGAGCGGGGCCTCCCCAGAAGATCTTAAACTCCGAGGTGGGACACAAAAGGAGATACGTTCGGACAGGTACGCTGGGCCAGAACCGTACAGGGTTTTATAGGTCAAGACCAGCACTTTGAATTGTGCTCGGAACTGGACCAGCAGCCAGTGGAGCTGACATAATAGGGGGGTGGTGTGCTCCCTGTATGATGTTCCAGTGAGTAGTTTAGCTGCCGCCCGTTGGACTAGTTGGAGTTTCCGAACAGTCTTCAAAGGCAACCCCACGTAGAGCGCATTGCAGTAATCTATTCAGTATGTAACAAGAATGTAGACCACTGTGGCCAGATCAGACTTCCCAAGGAACTGGCACAGCTGGCACACGAGTTTTAATTGTGCAAAAGTATTCCTGACCACCGCTGAGACCTGGGGTTCCAGGCTCAGCGATGAGTCCAGGATCACTCCTAAGCTGCGAAGCTGCGTCTTCATGAGTGTAACCCCATCTAACACAGGCTGTAACCCTATGCTCTGTTCGGCCTTGTGACTGACCAATAGGACCTCTGTCTTGTCTGGATTCAATTTCAATTTGTTAGCTCTCATCCAGTCTGACACACCCTACCCTTCAGCTCCTTGGAAATTCCTATTGGGATGAGCGACATGGCTTAAATAGGAGGTTTGGAAGGGTACTTGTGGTATTTGCAATGGTGCAATGACTATAAAAATGAATTCAGGCTACAGTGCCATAACTACTGAGCAAGATGTTAATGTAGATTGGCATATTTATGTTACAGATTCAACGAAGAAAAAAGAGAAACCAGGGTGGCACAAAGGGCTGTCAGAAGAATAACAATATGAAACTGATCCTGCTTCTTTTATCGCAAATGACATGTACTATGCATATGAGCTTCCAAAAAAGAGAGAAAGAATTAGTGTAAATCTATAGGAATGAAACCAAATCCACAGATGGATAATACTTTTTGTATGAATTAATTATATATTCTCAAAATGTGCAAGGTAGTATAAAATAGGGTTTGGACGTGAAAGCTTTTAAAAGTTAAGATAGAGCAAGAACTTGGAGATGAGGTGGGGAAGCACTTTGGAAACGAGACAGCTAGGCTGAATAAAGGGATTAGAGCCCTAAAATAGTTCTGAAAAGAGGCTCCCTTTGTGTGAGCACTCTCATTGGCATCCTTGTGTTGCATTGTAGCAGATCAAAATGGGAGGAAATACTGAGATTATGAGGAACCTGTGAGGCATGCCCATTTATCCCATCACTGCCACCCAATGTGAGGTCCTCCACTTGTCCTACCACTATGGTACCTCTCACGGTTCCTTTGCAAGGCTTAAATTATATAATCTGACCACCACCATCAACCTTGAACCCCTGCTGACACCAAGCATTTGAATTCATCTACATCAATGACACTATTGCAGCATTCTCAGAGGCCTAAATGTATAATAGGAAAAAAATTATAAAGCAGATGTTCAATATACAGTTAAAGATTAATTTTTAAACAAATTTAAATCCTGATGGGCTATAACTAACTACCTCTAGCTCACACCTCATATTCCTATTTTTTAAAGATTCGTTTCTCTCCCCTCCCCAACACCTGTGGAGGGCTGACTGTATACATGTTTTCTGTTAAGTAGTGGTGTCCTAATACTGATATACTGATACATGCATGCTCTTAGACAAAAAATATTTCAACCTCATGAACACAATTAAATGAATCATCTATTGACATGAATAATCAGGTTACCACTGGCCTACATCCCCTCCCACCAACCAATTCTGCCCACCACTACATCTCTTTTCCTGTCCACCAACATTCCATTTCTTGAATTGGGAATATAGTAACTGCTTTGGGAGATGGTGATCAGGCATTCGGACAACGTGGCCAGTCCAGTGGAATTGATTGCGTAGGAGCATCGCTTCAGTACTGGTGGACTTCCAGCATGCTGACATTTGTCCGCTTGTCTTCCCAAGAGATTTGCAGGATTTTCTGGAAGCAATGCTGATGGAATCATTGCAAGAGTTAAGTGTGACATCTGTAAACAATCCATGTTTTGCGTATAACAGGGTTGGGAGGACAAAAGCTTTATAAACAACACCTTGGTCTCCCTACAGATGCTCCGGCCCTCAAACACTCTCTGCTTCATTCGGGAAAATGCTGCACTTGCAGAGCTCAGGTGGTGTTGTATTTCAGTGTCAATGTTGACTTTGTGAAGAGGTAGTGGAAATGGTCAACATTTTCTTATGTTACAACATTAAGCTGTATTTCTGGCATTGCAGAGGGATTGGCTGGTGACTGCTGGAAGAGCACCTTGAAGAGCCAGCTACTCATTAAAAATGGATATTCAGGAAAACGGGGGGGGGGGGGGGGGGGGGGGGGAGGGGGGAGGGTAAAGACCAAGGTTTTTAAAACTGAATTAAAGATCTCATTCATCACAAAAATCCATATTCCAAGTGAATCGTCAAGAATATTGTGTCTCTGGATCACAGCGGCGACATAGTGAGTACAATTTTTTCTGTCACTTTAGAAAACCCCTAAGCATAACTAGGGGACCAACCATGGTATAGAAGTCTGAGTGTATGACATCAGCTTTGGAGACAAAGGTTTTGATCCCCATGTAATCATGAAAATCGACTTAATAAATCTTGTCATGAAAACTATGTGATGAATTTGCTTTAGGGCTGACATAAGTCGAAAATGACTTGAAGGCATACAAGAAGTATAATTAACTATGACATTTAGTAGAACTTCTCTATGGGTGGATTTTCATTTGCTGTTTATTACAAGGAAAAGTAATTAAGCCAACCTTAAAAACTGTGGGATAGACACAGAGAACTGGGAAGCCCTGGCCCTTGAACACTCTAACTGGAGGTCAGCTGTGACCATCAGTGCTGCAGAATTCAACGAAGCACGAATGGAGGGCAAAAGGGAGAAACATGCCAAGAGGAAGCCCTGCCCAAGACCACCTTCCACCTGGAAACCGATGTCCTCACTGCGGGAGAACATGTGGATTGAGAATAGAGCTCCACAGCCACCTATGGACCCACCACCAAGACACTACACTTGGAGGACCATCATCCTCAGGCTACAAGGGATCACCTAACAACAAGGAAAAGTGTGTGGCAATGGAGGAGGTTTTTTGGGGAGAGATACCTACATTCTACTTCTCCCTTTGGAACATTTTTATCAAAGCATCGCAGTACAAAATGTGTGTGTGTGTGTGTGTGTGTGTGTAGGAGAGAAACACAGGGAGCACCACTAATTTGTCCCTTTCCCAGTCAGTGAGGTATGTGGGGTACTTGCTGTATGTACACATTCTATATCCCAGTCTGGTACTTTTTAATTTGGGACTCACTTGAACATCATCTCTCAGTAGTTTAAAGATTTTTTAGAACTTCCATACTCTCCTCCCAACTCTGTTTTTCTCTTTCTCGTCATCTAACTTCATAAAGTGTATGATTTATGCGGGAGAACCAGAAAGGAGCACAAACAGATGATTCACAGGATGCAGAATGAATGAATGGGTTATTTGACTTTTTGCAGAAGTAAGAGAAACAGATTTCATAAAAATACCCTCAGGTGCAGACATTGCCTCCAATCTCAACTAGTTCCTGGCAATAACTTAAAATGTCCGGATGTATATGAAGAACATGCACGTATTTCATTCCAGGCAAGAGATTTTAGTGTGGATCACACAGGATATTTTCCTGGGCAGGGCAGATCTGTTTCTCTCGCGTCACATGGACTTGCACAGCAAAACTGTGCCAAAGTATACACTC